GGGACATTAACTGATTTTCAGAGTCGTGGTATTGCCCGTCTAGCAGCTTTCAGAATATGCATTCCCAACCTCTTAGACCTCTTAGAGATGCCCCAAAATATATTGTAGTGCGTCTAGGGGTAGGGTAACATTGAGTGCTTGCTTCAAGACCTTTTTAACCATAGACCAATAACCCACAATCTGTGGACAAAACCAACAAATGTGTGCCAAGGTGCCTACTCCTCCCATGTACCTCCAGCACAGACAGATTCGGGTTGATCGCATGAAGCACTACAGGGGTCTTGTACCAATGCATCAATATTTTATATAAATTTTCTTTATACACAATACAACAAGAGGTCTTAGTAGCAGAGTCCCAAATCATCTGCCAACATTTTAAAGAGATTGGGCATTGGAGTTGTCCTCCCATCTCTTCATATAACGGTGAGGATTATCAATAAGAGAACCTTTATTGAAAAGTAGTTTATATAAAGAGGTGATAAGATGTTGTTGGGAGGGACCTTTAATAGCTATCCTCTCGAAATCTGTGGGGCGATCTAGTGTTAAAGAGGAATTCAAGGAATGGAAAAAATGACGGAACTGTAAATAGGTATATCTGGCTGATACAGGTATTGTAGATTTCCACGCCCTAATCTCAAATGACCAAATCCTACGTTAGACCAGATTGATCAGATGATGGAATTGAATAATCCCATTAATTGCTCAAGAGCTCATCTGTGGGTAAGACAGACTATCTAGGAGCTCCGAATTATATAAAACATTCAACAATGGAGATCACATGGATAATAACTGCTGAGAGTTCACACAAGTTGACCAAATTTTTAGGGTAAATTTCATAGATTCGAGCAAAGGGGGGGGGGACAGTGGTAATGCATATTACTGAAAATATATGACTGTGATCTTTAACGCTTGTTCATAACTGTGAAGTGTAGACGACTCACTCACCAGATTCTTTGACCCCAGTTATGGTGGTCAAATGTGCCTTTGGTTATATAGGAAACCACCCTTTCTTGTTGGATTCTCCATTTTTTCTCCCTCTAAATCTCCATGGATTATAGCCAGATATAAGGCATTCCAATAGGTTTTCCAGTAATATACTGTAGGTTGGTTTTAGATATTCCTCCCACAGGAATACAGCCGGCCAATGAATGAATCAGACAACTGAATAGCTTATCTAAGTGTAGTACTATAATAGGAATCAAAATCAAATATACAAAAATATTCCACTCACTTGTACAGGTGCTTGTAAACCAGCACCAGTGTTGCAGGCATTTATGTTTTTAAAGATGGCCACTTTCCACTTCAAGCCTCGCTTTCACTTAGCTATTCCCGGACCCAGAAGTGACGCATGACGCTCCAATGTACTTTTCGCCCAAAAAGGAGTCTTCAGGAAGTGACGACTGCCATATCCAGGGAGGTTTATATAAGGGCACCTGGTTCCTCATTGGACATCAGTCAGCAAGAATACTGAGAGTTAATTGGACAGCTCCAGAAACATGGCCGATCCCATATATCAGTCAAGAAACTTAGTGCTTGCCATAACCTATACAATAACTAATTAAACATGCTGTGAAACACTTGTTCTTCTGTTAAATAACCCCCTAGGTACAAGGAGTGAATATAACATGTACATATATTAAAACAATGGAGCATTGATATTTCTTAGTTTTTTTTCTAATATGTATATTATGTTATGCTAAATCACCAATTGGTATAAGGACATAGCAATATATTAATATCTTTATGCAGTACCCCGCAACTCCAAATATTAGAACGTAGAATACTAATATAAAATTAGTTATAAAATCAATTAAAGTTAATGTTTAGAAATCAATACATTCTTACAGCAATATGTAAATAAAATTACAATTAAATAAACAATAATAAAATTACTAAACAATATTATAATTATGAATAGATACATGATTAAAGGAGTTATATAACTAAAAGGTTACGAGCATTTAGCTGTAAGCGCCAAACCCAGGGAAGTGTGTGTGTGTGTGTGTGTGTGTGTGTGTGTGTGTGTGTGTGTGTGTGTGTGTGTGTGTGTGTGTGTGTGTGTGTGTGTGTGTGTGTGTGTGTGTGTGTGTGTGTGTCGAACAGAACTAAGTTCTCTGCGGATGCACTACTAAACCCACCGGGCTGGGAAACAAGATGCTTCCTTTTATCCCTCAGTAGGTCATCTGGGACCCTTAAAAGTAACTAAAATAAATCTTTTTATATAAACCTAATTGGTAGGTGAATTAAAAAATTGGTCATGTCCCATGTCTTTTAGATATATGACCAATTGCAGATGTAGTAGGAGGATATACATAAAATTGAGTAAAGATAAATTGAAGAGACTCTGTGTTACTGATATTAAATTACATTTATATATAAGGATCTAACTCTAAATATCTTAATGGGAGATCCACACTCTCAGCAAAGCAATAATAGTCTTGCCAAGGTGGGGATCCCCTCGAAAGAATATTTTATATAGGGCTACTTGGGGGTAGAAGGCAGTATTTCCCCATTATCAATATGTACATGATACCTTGTTAATCAAATTGTTATTACATCGGGTACATTCCCCTGTTTCTTAATGGGGAAAAAGTGGCCCCTTAGAAGTTTAGCTAATAAATAGCTTTTTTCGAGGTAGGTCATGTTTGAGGGCAGTTGGCCCCGAAGGGATCTCCTGTCACGTTCAGCTGATATGGATAAATTAAAGTTTCCTCCAATAATCGTGAAAGGATGTGAAGAAGCTAAAAGCGGGGAGATAGACTACCTAAAGAACATCAATTGATTACCATTAGGAGCATAAACATTAATAATTGTAATATAGATATCACCATATTGACATTGCAGTAGTATAAATCTGCCATGTGTGTCTAGTACCGAGGATACCACATGGATAGGGCAAGCTTTCTTTATAGGAATAGCGAATACCTGCATTACCCGTGCCATCCATAGCGGAGTATGCTATAGGAAAATATCTGAGGGCAAAATTAAATGAGCTTCCCTTTTTGAAATGTGTTTCCTGGATAAGAATAATATCAGCCTTAGACTGATGGAATTCCCTAAGAGCTATCGACCTCTTCCTCATTGAATTTAAACCTTTAACATTACAAGAGTATAGTCGTAAAGACATGTTGGTGTATTCTGAACATGAAGCAATTGTATGCAGGGCAATATGACAAATAAACCATGCTGTTCTAAGAAGGAATAACACAAAAAATATTGACTAAGAAAGACGTATCCAGTGCGTCGTAAAAAAAACTAGCAGACACAGAATAAACAAATCCAAAAAAGATTTGCAGACATAATATGAGAACAAAATATGGAGGAGGCCTGAGCAACCAAGGTTGCCCAGGCATCTACAGCAATAACTGTAGGTGTTTGGGGATGACATAGGGAGGGTGAAAGTCAGGTGGTGACTTCACTCCTCTCTTTCAAATTAAACAGCAAATAACAGGACAACATCTGAGCAGATCCCGATAGAGTGTTGGATTTATCCTTGAGGGGAAATCAAAATTGACGGGCAGGACATGTCAATAGACGTTAAATCTTAAGTGGCATCAGCTGCGTTTTGCGTGACGTCATCAGGTAACAGAAGATAACTGGGAAGCAGGAGGCGCGTCTTGTTTCTGGATTTTGCCGGTGTCCACATCTTGTTAGAAGTGTTGACCGCTCTTGGCTTGGTTAGGGATAGTGCTAAAGCTTCATCCGGGAAAGGAGGTAGGCCTAAGTTAAGCAGAAACACCTCTCCTTGAAGATTTCTGATAGTCTGTTGAGTGCCATCTTTGGTTACGGTTAACCTGAGCGGAAAGCCCCGTCTGTATATCATACAGTGCTTATGAAGGTGGACAAAGTGTACATCTCTTAGTGTGATAGGGGGCAGATTACTATAGATTTGAATTTTTTTCCTCTCTAAAGTCAGCCAAGGCGGTGTTACGTGTGGAATTCAGCACATATTCTTTACTATCATAGTAATGAAACCAGACAATGATATCTCTTGGCCTTGCGTCCAATGATGGTTTCGAGACAAGAGAGCGGTGGGCCCTGTTCATTCGCAAATCTATGTCTTGAACCACAGGACCAATGCAGTGAACAGACCCCATAGATAATCTTGCAGATCAGTGTCTTTACAGATTCAGGAACTCCGCATATACAGAGATTCTGTCTCCGCTCCCTATTCTCCATATCTTCTTGTAGGGATTGTATCTGGGACATCTGTTGTTTCAAAGTATGATTATCTTCCTCCAGTACATGTGCATACTGCACCAGATCATCAAATTTGGTTTCTAATTGGTCCGTACGTTCTTCCACCAATGCTGTCTCCCCTCTGAGTTCCTGTTCTATTTTCCCCACTGCCGCAGAAATAGTATGAGACAAACTCTGCAGAAGACCATGTAACTTATCCAGAATGTCTGCCGTAAGGTAGGGGATAGGATAAGGAGGAGATAAAGTAGAGTGATGTGTTACCTCTGCCTCACGACCTGACGGATCGTCCGGTTCTGCCGCTGGGATTGTGTGATCACTTGAGGCCGGGGATGCGGCTCCTGACATATATTTCTCCATATGTGTAGGCCGCAACTGCTCTGCGGGTGATGGAGGATATTTCTGATGCCTGATTTTGCCCATGGGGATCTGCAAATGAAACTGAGTCCGGTACCTGTGCTCCTCTGCTGCAGATAGCTAACGTTCACTCCAGAGGAGCTGGAAGAGAGAGCGGTGAAGCAGTGCGAGGTCAATGTGCAACTGCCATCTTCAGCCTCCGCGCATGTGCCCCCCCCCCACATACACTTTTTTAAGTGTTTCATTATTAAAACTCCTATTTGTGGGTTCTACTAGTTCCAGTAGGCATGATTGTGGGATGTGGTAAAGTGAGACTTATAGTTTGAAATGTTCAAATCTTTTAACAGATTTAAATTGTTTTCCAACAGGAAGTCGGTGAGCCAACCAAAGATGAAAAGGCCATTGCAAAGTACTTGCGTTTCACCTGCCCTTCAAAATCAACCAACATGATGGGCCACAGAGTGGACTATTTCATTGGTAAGCATTTTGAGTGGGTGTAAAAGGTACATTGCTAAATGTAATATTAAGACTCGGACTGTGCTTGCTGTATGCATCTCATCTTCACACGGCTTCTTTGTATACATATCTTATGGAAGACATCTTCACAAGACTATACAGACAACACCTGGGAATAGGGAAGATGACAACAAGTAGCAGTTGGTGGTAAGAACAATAAGTGGGTAACAGTATGGCCCTTGTGTTGCCATATTTCTCATAGTAACAATCTGGAGGATTAGTTACAGGTGTGTGAAAATATGTAGCTTAAAGAGAGAACCATAATGAGAGTAACTTTTTTTTTTTTTTTTTTTTTACTGTTTCAGAATTTGTATGAAGAGAAAAGCTTATTTATTTAAAATTAGATCACAGTTCTGAGTTTGTGCAGAGAGAAATCGGCAGACCATCTTAAATGTGTCAGAATCCCAAAATATTCAGTACAGACTGATCATGTCTGCATGAAGGCCTCTGCCATCTTGTAATCAGATACTGCTAGTTTGCCCATTCCTATATTTGATTATCGTAATGTATTTTATCATTTTTTTAAATTAAAGTGGGAGAGGGGCCAATGAGGAGAAGACAGTGCTGGAGGAGTCCTGTTTTTAGCCATTGATAATAGGAGTGGCATCATTGACAGTAAAGACATGCTAGCCTTTACATTTTTCCCCACCCAATGTGTACAGAAGTGCTTTAAACTGACATCTCCAGAAATTGTGAGATTATTGCAGTCATAGAGAATGAAGGCTTTATTCCAGTAGTCTGTAAAGAACCCTCTCCTGCTGAGTGTCCTTAAATTTTTTTTTTTTTTTTTTTATCTTGGGCTCTGTTGTAGGACACCAGGCCATCCTGATGCTTTAAGTGTACTTCCAGCTGAAACATTCTTTTTTTAGTTCTGGATAGAGTAGGGAATGGTTAAAATCCTTGGGGGGTATTTTTTTTTTTCTGCGTCCCCATTGGGAGTTTTCCTGTAATTTCTTGTCTCAGTGACACAACAAGGAGTGAGTGAGAATTTCTCTAAAGTAATGTGAATTCTGTCTTAGGCCTCTTTAACATGGACTTAGAGGTGTGGCAATACAGGCATTTGTGTCACTTTTTAACATTCCTGTACCACTTGCAAACATATCAAATGTTAGGACATTTCTCTTTTTCCAGGCTCTGCTGCAAACCGCTCCGTCCATTGAAGTCAATTGCAAGGCACCAAAAATAGGTTTTTGATGTATTCGGTGTGCTTTTTTGAAGCGTTCACAGCATTCACTTCCCATGTAAATAAAAAAAAATGAGTAACAGAGGTGACATTTAGGCAGTATTTATTAATACACCACAATACATGTGAAATGCATCTTAAGTATTCATTCAGCGTTTGTTGTCTTTTCACATCTCTAAGCTCATATGAAAGAGGACTTACAGTTGCCACTGGAACAGGTTTCCCTCTTTGGAATTTTTTCCTCTCCTCATGTTCCTAAGACAACTATAAAGCTTTGGTTTTGCCAGCAACTTCTGTCCTGATGATAGTGATCACTAGGACATATAGAGAGGGTGATTTCTTTTCTGAGACTACCTTCACAACAGATACCTGACAGAGGTTATAACCCCTTCACACTCTACCTAAAATAAACATTTTGGCTAGAAATATACTTTAAAACCCCTTTTTTGCCAGTAATCTGGTGTTCAAAGAATATACGTTTCTGAGCAGTGTGAATATCCAGGCCTGGTGTTCTCAGTCCCACCTGCTATAAGACTTTTACTGTATCTCACAGAGAGAGTGGAAGTTGCACGGCACAAAGTCATTTAACCTGAAGCTGCAGTATGTGTGAGGATCTTGCGCAATCAAGGCAGCAGTGGATTAAACAGAGCTAAAGGTAAATAGTGCTTTACAGGGTTTAGCACTTCTGCAGTGTTTTCTGGGTAGAAGTATCAGTTCACAAATTGATTTCACTTTGCCCAGGGTTTTTTTTTTTTTTTACCCTGCTTTTTGAAGTGATTATTATTCCATTTCTGCAGAAAAATGCCCCGTCTTCTTCCTTTTGATTATGTGTGTTGTGTGTGTGTATGTGTGTGTGTATATACACAGGCACAATTTTAGTTTTTTTCAGGTATTTACCAAACATATTCAAGCTATAGTTATATAATGGGCATGGGCTGAAAGTGCGCACACTCAGGTTTAATTTGAGGGTATGTACATCCAAATTGGAGGAAGGGTTTAGGAATTACAGCTTTTAAGAGTAGCCATATCCCCTTTTTTAAGGGACTGAAAGTAATTGGAGAATTGAATCAAAATCTGTTTCATGGCCAGGTGTGGGCTACTCCTTTGTTATTTCTTCATCAATTAAGCAGGTAAAAGGTCTGGAGTTTACTCTAAGGCTACGTTCACACTAGCCTTGTTTTCAAGCAGCAGAAAGGCGTTTGGGAAGCGTTTTTTACCGCTTCCCAAACGCCTCGGACAATTCTGCCCATTGCAGCACATGGTGCTGTTCTAACAGGAGCGGTAGCGTCGCGGCGCGTCGCAACGGACGCCTCTGGTTGAGTCAGGAGGCGTTGAAGCCTCCTATTCTTGACTATGGTGCCGCTCCGCAAACGCCCGGCCGGTATTTGCGGCGCGGTTGCGGGGCGTTTGCAGAGCGATAACACCATTTAAACTTCATTATAGGCATTTGTGGGGCGTTTTTAACGCTCTGCAAACACCTAGCAACCGCCACTAAACCGCGCATGCGGGGTTTGCGGAGCATTTGCCGAGCGTTAAAAAACGCTCCGCAAACGCTGGACCAATGCTTGCCAAACGCTACAGGGGTGTTTGGCAAGCGTTGGTAAAACAGTCAAGTGTGAACGAGCCCTAAGTGTGGTATTAGCATATGGAATCTATTGCTGTGAACCTACATAGTTCATTCAAAGGAGCTGTCCATTGCAAGTGAAACAGGCCATTGTAAGGCTTTAAAAACAAAACAAATCCATCAGAGAGATAGCAGCAACATTAGGAGTGGCCAAGTCAACAGTTTGGTACATTCTGAGGAAAGAAGAACGCCCTGGTGAGCTCAGCAACATAAAACGGCATGGACGTCCACAGAAGACAACAGTGGTGGATGATCGCAGGATCCTCTCTATGGTAAAGGAAAACCCATTAACAACGTCCAGACAAGTGAAGGACACTCTCCAGGAGGTGGGCGTATCATTGTCAAAGTCTACAATCAAGAGAAGACTTCACAAGAGTAAATACAGAGGGTTCACCACAAGGTGCAAACCATTCATAAGCCTGAAGAATAGAAAAGCCAGATTAGACTTTGCCAAAAAACATCTAAAAAAAACCAGACCAGTTCTGGAAAAGCATTCTTTGGATGGATAAAACTAAGATTAATCTGTACCAGAATGACGGGAAGGAAAAAGTGTGGAGAAGGCTTGGAACAGCTCATGATCCAAAGTACACAACGTCATCAGTAAAACATGGTGGAGGCAGTGTGATGGCATGGACATGCATGGCTTCCAATGACACGGGTCATTGGTGTTTATTGATGATGTGAAAGAAGCAGCCGGATGAATTCTGCAGTGTTTGCAGATATACTGGATCAACTATATAGGTGAGCGCTGGCGATATCTGGGGTCAGCTAGCACAAAAGGTGACGACAACAATCCCCTACAATAGTATATGTAAGAAAGTGCAGCGCTAAAAAAAAAAAAAATATTATATTGCGGAATGGTAAAGTGCAACACATAAAAGTGCAAAAAACATTCGTAAATGCAAAATCTAAAAGTCAAACAATATGGTAAAGTGCATCGAGAATGTAGTGAGCTAAGTGAAACAGTAAAGTGCATCAAGTAAAAGCATGAAAATATCAGCCAAACAGCTCAAAAAGCAAATGCCAAACAATAAAGTGTATCACGGGCAGAATCTAAGTACAATAATGCCTGTGGTGATCCGTGAAGTAAAGTAAAGTAGTAAATGATGTTACAATCAACATATAAAAACTGAGATATATAAATAGGATAAAACTCTACATCAACATCCGTGGTTAAATGTGCTATTTATATAGTCAAATATCCATAAATGGAAGCAATTGTCCGTGAAACCATAAGGCGCAGTATATTTAAGGTGCAGAGTGCAAATGTGCTCATGATCACACAATAGAATCCACCACCTCTCTCGGATGTACACTCACCAGATGAAAACTGGTAACAAGCAATCATGCATTAAACATCTGAGAATGGCGGCCAAAGGGTTAAACCTGACCAAATTCGTCCTGGGCACATGGATGAGAAGTCAGCCCTTGTCCTAGAGGGAATAGCTCACCACAGGAGCCAATAAGGTTGCATATAGTGTAGTATTTATTAGAACATTAAAAAGTATCCACGTGGAGACCATCCCGCAATATAATTTTTTTTTTTTTAACGCTGCACTTTCTTACATATATGTTTAGAGATATACTGTCAGCCCAGTTTCAGCCAAATGCAGCAAAGTTGATTGGACGGCATTTCACAGGACAGATGGACAATGATCCAAAACACACTGCAAAAGCAACCCAGGAGCTTTTGAAGGAAAAGAAGTAGAATATTCTGCAATGGCCGAGTCAATCACCTGATCTCAACCCAATTGAGCATGCATTTCACTTGCTGAAGGCAAAACTAAAGACAGAAAGACCCACAAACAAAGAACAACTGAAGACAGCTGCAGTTAGAGCCTGGCAAAGCATCAGAAAGGAGGAAACCCAGTCTTTGGTAATGTCCATGGGTTCCAGACTGCAGGCAGTCATTTCAAGTAAAGCATTCTCAACAAAATATAAAAAATTTACATTTTATTTATGATTATATTCAATTGTCCAATTACGTTTGGTCCCTTGAAAAAGGGGGGATGGCTACTCTTAAGAGCTGTAATTCCTAAACCCTTCCTCCAATTTGGATGTACATACCCTCAAATTAAACCAGAGAGTGTGCACTTTCAGCCCATAGCCATTATATACTATAGCTTGAATATGTTTTGGTAAATACCTGAAAAACTAAAATTGTGCCTGTGTCCAAACTGTATATATATAACTAGACCTAACTGTATGTGTGTGTGTATTTTTTTTTTTCCGCCTTGCAGCACTAGGGTCATTGGTTCGAATCTGAACCATGGCACTACCTACATGGAGTTTGCATGTTCTCCCTGTGCCTGCTTAGGTTTACTCCAGTTTCCTCCCACACTCCAAAGACATGCTGGTAGGTAACAGTAGGTTACTTGGCTCCAGTCTAAATTGGCGCTAGTATGTGTATGTATGCATGTAGGGACCTTAGATTGTACACTCCTTGAGGGTTAGGGACTGATGTGAATGTACAATGAATATGTAAAGCACTGAATTGGCATCACTATATAAATATCTGTAATAATAAATATATTATATAATATATATATTTATTTGCATTTCACATACAAATATGTCAAATTTCCCTCTAATAGCCAACTTTACAAGCATTGCATTCATCATCTCAGTTGCTGAGCTAATGCTGACATAATAATTTAGGTGTAATGGGCCTCATGCACACTGCGCTTAAAATGATGCTTTTACGGGGGGGGGGTTGGTTCACCAGAAAAACTGCTGAATTGCTGCAAGCTGACGTGCAGATTTCACTTGCAGAGGCATCAGTTTACATCAGTTTTTATGAGCACTTCAGTGAGTTTTATGTATGTTGCAGATTTCTGCACAGAAAATCTGCATGCGATACTAATGTTGTGGTGTGAACAGGGCACATAGAGAACAATTGATTTTGTTGTGCCCTTGCAGAACGTGTGAAGAAAAGCTGCCATCTCTACACCATGGTGTGAACGAGCCCTGAAGGTTTTTTTTACCTTTATTGTATAGAATACATGAAGGTAAAAAATATTTTGTGTTTACAACCACTAAGGGCAAAACATTTTTCTTCCATTTTGGATAGACCCCGTCAGTTTTTTGTTTTGGGGTTTGTTTTTGCCAGCTGTGTCCCACTGGGAAGATTTACCTTCACTTCTGTCCCATACTTCTGTCCCATAGACAAAACAGGAGGTGGCTCTGCTCATTCACTTGGTAAATGCTGCAAAGGCCTGTACACCAGCATTATGGAAACTGGTATCGCCCCCTACTCACTCATTATGGCTGTCCAAAGTGGCTGACATCTACTCCATGGAATCTATCACTGCTGCTCTGAGGGGCAAGGAGGAGAAGTTTAGACAGAAATGGTTTTATTGGACAATTCCACCTCACCAATTCTCCCTCCCCCCCCCCCTCTTTTTTTCTCTCCCCCCTTTTTTTTTTTTTTTTCTTTCTCCTACATCTTTTCATTCCTCTGTGTCAGTGGTTGTTTCCTGCCTAATAAAGAGCTCAGACAGGATGTGGAAAGCATTTTATACTTGATATTCTTCAGGCTTTGTTATAAGTGTGCATTGTCTAATTGGTTGTTTTTCTACATATTTATCTTATGTTGGTACTTGTGGACTGCCTTTCTTTGCCCTTATAATCACAGCCACTTACTCCTGTATGTTAAATTTATAAAGAATTAAAAAACACAGGAAGTGAAAAGAAATTCCTCCAAAGTAAGGGAATCTCGGTGTGTCACCAGAACGAGTATCCCCGTTGGAAGATTTACCCTCTGGCTGTGATATCTCCTCTAATCCTAGCATTGTGTTTTTTACTTCTCCCATAAAAAATACAGAGTAGAGACTGTTAGCATATCCTATTGTTGCTGCACCTGGGAACAGAGGTAGATATGCTAATGCCCCAGTCAACCCTAAGGACCTGACAGGAGACTAAACGGGGAATACATTTTGGGTTGAGGTGAAATTTTTTGTGCATGTATGCGTATGTATATATATCTCCTACCCCATATCTGCAATAATACAGTATTACCTTGATTTCTGTATTTGCACAGATTGATGCTTGTTTTTTTTTTACATCCACATCAATAGATTAGTTCTTTCTCTACAATCCATTGTACCTCGTGACCAACAAAATAATGTTGATCACAAAAGCTATTCTTACACTCTCCTCAACCTGGCATTATATATTTCTGGCCGTTTTCAGGTTTAAAGGGTTAGTAGTTCACCGTTCCTGTTTTGCCAAAAACATCCCATAGATTTACAGCATTCTCAGAACATTCATTGTAGCACTTAGCCTAGTTCCCTACCCACTCATGCGCAGTCCAATCTCTTTCATTCTTGCAGAACACTGAGCTGTGAGAGAGAGAGCAGACTAAACATGCATGGATAGGGAATGGAGCCAAGTGTTCATTTGTGGGTTTCAAACACCATGCACCAAGCACTTGACAAGTCTTTTTATGTGCAGGACAGAGAGGGAAGGCAATAAAATGAGCAGCTGAAAAAGCATTCTTTTACTAAAGAGAGTACTGCATGTTAAGGTACTGACGGCGCTGTAATGCTTGGGGATTTTTTTGGCAAGTCAGTAATGGTGAGCTAACCCTAAAAAGGTTTACGGTGTTGGAACAACTCATGTGAAATACTTATTAAGCAGTCTTCTCTTGTGTTTACAGCTTCCAAAGCAGTGGATTGTCTTCTGGATTCCAAATGGGCAAAAGCAAAGAAAGGGGAAGAGGCCCTGTTCACAAACAGGGAGTCTGTGGTTGAATTTTGCAAACAGGTATGTCTGGTTAAAAGAGAAACTGTTAGAAGGCCGTGCAGTCTTAAAGTGGTATTTAAAGATTCAGCTTTTTTGCTTTTTTATACACATAACAAATATGTTATATTTACCTGCTCTGTAAAGTTATGTAAGCTATGTAAAGTACCCTGGCAGCCATTCCCACCAGCCCTGATCTTTCTGCTTTGTGTCAAGAAGCACCAAGACCTATTGATGCTGGAGCTTATTATGTATGTATTGAAAAGAAAATTTTTATTCAAAAATTTCATTAGCATTTTGATGAGGGGGAACCAAGAAAGGCAGAATGTAACTGAAGGAAAACCTTTTTTTATTAGATTGGACAGAGTCAGTGTTTCTTTTTTTTTGCCATCTGTGTCCTATTGGGGAGATTTCCCTTCTCTTCCCATCTCATAGTCAAAACAGGAAGTGAAAGGAATTCTCCAAGTAAGAGAATCCTGGTGTGTCACAAGAACTAGTGTCCCCATTGGGAGATCTATTACGTTCTGATGTCAACCCTAAATTTGGATTTTCTTTTACTTTTTCTTTTGATGATATCAATAAATGGGACAAATAGAGGAGGTAAATCTGAACAGGGGCACAACAAACAAGATGATGTGTCAGATACCAAACATGGCAAGATTTAAAATTGCGCACGTCTGTTTAATGGCGACAAGCTTACAGTGCCTAAAATTGTCCATACATGATGCTTTAGAAGCGTTTACAGGTTATCAGTCAATTTAATAAATAATTATTGCTTTAACCCCAAGTTTTTGGTGATACCTCACATATGTAGTGCAATCACCATCTACATATGTGTGCAAGACGTATGTGCACGTTTGCATTTGCGCAGGGGTGTTTTAAAAATATTGTTTTTTTTTTATTTGCACTTTTTTTTCCATTTAATTTTATTGCTATCACAAGGTGTGAACAAGATCCCTAGTGATTTATCTTTGAGCATAGACAGGTACTCTTTATGGAGATATCCGATGTCTCCCCTGCCCTTCAATGCATCTGTTTAATGCAGATCATGTTTGATCAGATGCTTCCCTGGCTGTAATAGCCAGGGAAACACAGCACTAATACTGGAAGTCACAGAATCCTTGTCGCTTCTGGCTTCATCATCATAGAGGAGATCAGGGAACAGTGGAATGCCCAGATCACTTTTATGTGAAAGCCGTTGGCTGAAAAAAAATGTATCAGCTGCAGCCATGATGCTGGTAAGCCCACTTGCTGTCCAGGACATTTATATATGTACACTATACAGCAAGTGGTTAATAGACCAGTCTGTCTAGACAGAGTAGCAGTTAGAGGGTTGAGATAAACCATTTACCACTGACAGCAGTGCTTATAATGGTCACTTCTATTTGTATAAAACCTTTATACCAAAAGGCAAAAAACTGTTTGCAGCAGCTGCTTATAAAGTATTAGCTGAATTTCAACTTCAATTTGTTAGTCCATCTAAACCTGCTAGCATTCTCTAACCTACCTTCTCCTCAGACAGACAATGCTGCTGTCCAAAGGTGTCTGCCTTACTACTTCATTTAGAAGGCAGACACAATGTGGCAGGTTTACTAAAACTGCACCATACAGAATCTGGTGCCGCTGTGAATAGTAACCAGGCAGCTGCTTACTTCAGCTTTGGCAATAAAACCTGGAAATTGATTGGTTGCTATACACAGCTGCACCAAATTTTGGAGATATTCACCCTGAATGCAGCAAGTGATGTCAGTCGTGCATGCACTCTGAAGGGATGGCATACCTGTGCCGTCACTTCAAAGCTCCATGCCACTGCCGAAACTCCCACAAATGCGCAGAAGTGATGTCATCGCGGCTTGGCCAGTCAGCCGGCTGGAGAGTGCAAACCTGGAAGGAATACTAGGTGAAGATGGAAGCCCTGTCAACGGTGACAATGTGCTGCTGAAGCTTTGTTCTAAGGCAGGTACTTCATAATGTGCTAGTATGCGATGCATAGTAGCACATTATGCCATTGTTTTGCAGGTTTTTTTTTTTTTTTTTTTTAATGCAGCGGTTTACTACCGCTTTAAACATTTGAGAGTGCAGTGGGGAGATGGAGCTCAGTATAAAAAGTGGGGGCTAGGATGTAGCACAGTGCATTGCAGCCTGAACCTGTGGTTTGGTTTTCTGTTATTTTCCTTAACCACTAGCCTACTGGGCACTTATACCCCCCTCCTGCCCAGGCCAATTTTCAGCTTTCAGTGCTGTCGTACTTGGAATGACAATTGCACAGTCATGCAACACTGTACCCATATGAATTTATCATTTTTTTGAGACAGATAGAGCTTTCTTTTGGTGGTATTTAATCACCTCTGGGTTTTTTATTTTTTGCTACACAAACCAAAAACAACTGAAAATTTTGAAAAAAAAAGTTTTTTCTTAGTTTTTGTTTTAAAATTTTGTAAATAAGTGATTTTTCTCCTTCACTGATAAGCGTTAATGAGGCTGCAGTGATGGGCACTGATATGTGGCATTGATGTGGGACTGATGGGCACTGGCAGGTGGCACTGATGAGCACTGACAGCTGGCATTGATGGACACTGACAGGTGGCACTGCTGGGGCTACACTGATCATCAGGGCACACTGATCATCAGTGCCCAGATGATCAGTGCACATGTCCCCTCTGAGTAATGCTGATTACCAGCTCTCCTCTGCTCTCGAGCTGTCAGCATGACAGCTCGTGAGGAGAGAAATGCTGATAACCGGCATTTCCCTATTTTTACATGAGATCAGCTGTGATTGGACACGGCTGATCACATGAACCTTCGGCTCTTTCCGTTGATCGGTGATCCGCTGTGTCCAAGGGACACAGCGAATCGCCGATCGCCGTGCTGCTCTCTCCCGGAGTCGCGCTTGCGCAGTTAGAATGGGAGGACGTCATATGACGTCCTCCCAGAACGAGAGAACCGCCTTGTACCCGTCATTACCTTATATGGCGGGCGGGAGGTGGTTAACAAAAAAGCCCACTGTCTGCAAGCCAGCCAGAGTGATAGCTGTAGTCCTGTGCTTTTGTACAGATATGTGCAGCAAGCAGCACACTTAAGGCTCTCACTATTAAAAACCAACCAGGGCAGACTCTTAGCACAACTTAGAGAAAACCGTTTTATTACAAAAAAAAACCAAAACATTTAGGCAGAACTACAAGACAAGCTCCTATCATGGCAACATAATCCACAATGCAGCACAAGTAACCAGCACAAGAGCTCACTGTTTGGGAAGTGGAAGCAACTTTTGAGCTATGTAGCCATGCTTCTCTGCATTCCTTCACAGTACAGCAAGTCAGAACACAGAGGGGCAAATGCAAGACTGCACAGAGGTGAAATAGAGGAGGAGGCTGCATTGTCCAAGTTGTGCAGCCCTGGCTCCTCTGCATTTCTTATTGTTCATTCCAAAAATGGCAGTGCAAAGAGGAAGCCTGGCCACTCTGGTGCATGTGTAGTCTTGGTGATTCAATCACTCACTGGGATATTAAAATGGACTGCTGTTTTTCACACAACTATGATAATGTATGTTCCAGCAAAAACAAGGAAGTTTTCTGCTCCCCTGTCAATGCCTGCACACACAACCACATACCTAGAGCCTGCCTACAAACACTATCTGTAGGTACAGGGCTTATTATAAATGCAGGCAATTGATGACTATAAAGTCATATAGAATGTCTCAGTGGATCCTCCTATCTTTCCAGGTCCAGAGGCTTTTGGATTCTTTCAGCCCATATGGGAATGTCAAAATCCTGAGATTTTTAAAGTCAAATAAATGTATATTAACCGCTTCCATACAGGACACTTTTACCCCCTTCCTGCCCAGGCCATTTTTCAGGTTTCAGCGCTCTCATACTTTGAATGACAATTGTGTGGTCATGCAATATTGTACCCAAACGAAAATTTTATTTTTTTCTTCACACAACTAGAGCTTTCTTTTAGTGGTATTTAATCAGCACTGGGGTTTTTATTTTTTGCTAAATTAAGAATAAAAGACTGAAAATGTTGAAATATTAGAAACTTTGTTTCTGTTATAAAGGTTTGCAAATAAATAATTGCTCTTCATAAATTTAGGCCAAGATGTATTCTACTACATGCCTTTGGTGAAAATAACCCAAATTAGTATTTATTATTTAGTTTGTAGGAAAGCTATATGGTATAGTCACAAACTATGGTATATATCTGAATATTGATAAATCCTGAAGTACTGACAGCCAATCTAATTTCTTGAGGGCCAAGAATGTCAGAACAGTACAGATATCCCCAAATGTCCCCTTTTTGCAAAATAGACAGTCCGACGTATTTCATAAGAGGCATGGCGAGTTTTTTGATGTTGTGATTTTTTTGTCATAACTTTTTGGAAAATGGAACAATTAAAAAAATTATTTTCACTATTTTTTTTTACATACTGTCACCAGTGCAGTACAGCGTCATCATATAACTGGCATGGCAGTGATCAGGGACACTGACTGTTGACAGTTCAAAAAAAAAAAAAAAAAAAAATTTTAAATTTTTTTTAGTTTTCATTTTTTTAAAAAAAAATTTTTTTTTCGTATTTCGCTATGACCAAAGTAGTATAATGTTACCATAGTAGCATTGTACTACTTTGGGGAAGTGATCAGTATTTTTAAGCAAGCATTTACCTGAATGACATCTATTCATCAGGGGTTTTTTTTTGTGCTTAACTGTGATTCGGCCACGGCTAATCACATGACACAGCTAGGCTGTGATTGGTCCAGCTTGTGCATGTGATCGCTGTAACCATTCACAGCTAGACACACTAGTATACAATGGTTGGCATGAAAGGAAGCCATCCATTGTATACAACTGTCATGTGACCTGCTGTGATTGGTCACAGCAGGTCACATGGTACTGGCAACAGGGCCGGTACACTGATTTGTCATCGGCCGTAACCGAGGTACATGGCCGGTGACAGATCCCGCCACAGAGCAGCCCTGCATCCGTAGGGATGAGGTGTTTTGCCGGCCGCCTTTGTGCTATTGGTCAAGTGGGAACCGGTTAAGCAGTACTTTAATGACCACCTTGCCTCTTTAAAATTCCAAATGGTAACAAAGAGTACTATTACTTAGTACAGCAATGTACCTTCAGATCTCTGGTTGTAAGAAGTGTGTCCTTTGGGAAATGTTGCTGTGGGCTCCCACAGCAGCTACTCAAGATGTATAGACACTGGATGCTCAATCTCAATAGAAAGGCCTCAGGCGACTGACATTTGAACTTTCTCCCTTATGACCAATGAGGTTGTGCCCTAAGCAACATTTTGCGTGTGTTAATTTTTTTTTTCCTTTTGTTAGCTTTTTTGATCGTAATAGGATAGGATAGTCATACTAGGAGGGTGTGTTACTTGAGTATAGGTTTACATTTCCTTAATGACCCTTTGCATTCCAGTTTGATTTTTATTTTTAGTATGCATTTTTATTGAGTATCCTGGAGCAAGGCAACGATAATTGGCTATCTAGAAAATAACAAAATATTGAGGAAGCCTTGATTGAAAGATTTCCTCAATATTTTAAAAATGTTTTTTTTTTCCAATTTTTCAAGGCTTCTCAAGAAACAGTTCTTCCACCGGGCATTAAAAGTGATGAAAATGAAGCCAGAGAAAGATCCAAAGAAAGAAAAGGAGAAAGAGAAAGGAAAGACTGATAGTGGAAAGGAAGACGAGAAAAAGGGGAAGAAAGATTCTTCTAAGGATGAAAAAACCAAGAAAGAAAAGGAAAAGGAAAAGAAAAAAGATGGTGAAAAAGATGAAAGCAAAAAGGTAAGATCAATGCCTGCCAGTCATTTCTGGTACAGGTTTCTTTCACAAAGAATTTTATTTTTTAATCTCCATGTTAAATACCATGTATTAAACCATGACAAAAATATACCAATCAAACCTGTTGTGGTAAATGGCATTTATAATGTGAATATGTGAATCTAACTGCTGGTAGTGGGGCAGTAGATACGTTCTTTTTGACATTTGGGTACAGTTCATCCATTTGTATTCAGGAATCACTTGATTTTAACTGACAGTGCAACTCGCCTTTCCGGTATCTGTAAGGGTTTGTTTCCATGTGCAGCTGTCTTTACTGCCCCTCTGAAAAGCGATCCACAGTATATTTCTTTTTCAGAGGCATTTGACATGCTGCTCATTGATATATTGCCACCTCACTGCCTATGTTAACCATTCAAAGGCACAGTCCCATTCGCTTTTATGTATTGAGCTTGGGAGTGGTACTGGATACTCTGTGACCTGTATAAATTTGACTGCATCATGGCAGTGTGTATTAACACGACCACTGGTTGTGTTAGCTTGCGGCTCTGCATTTGGGGGGAGGGGGTTTAAAACTTTGGCTCAGCTGCCTGTAAACCAGGCCTTAAGAAGATTAAGTACAATGTTTTTTGTTTTCACCTTCATGCTTTTAAAGTCATAGAAATGTGTAAATACATATTCAAGCAATAAAAGCCTACGGAAATCTGATGATCAGGTTACATTTAACAAAATGGACATACATATAGGAAACAGTGGGTTTTTTTAAATTTTCTTTTGAAGTTGTTTTGCGTATCAGAAATGAAAAGAAGTGGTGGCCATGTGATCTCCCACCATCTGCTGTTTTGGCTTAAAAATGTAATATACTACTCTGATACAATATTCACTTGTCATTTACAAGGGGGACTGCAACATTTTGAACCTTCGATAGGCCTGGGTTCTAGTTTCCATGCTCTCCAGATGTGTGCCTAAAACTAGATTTCCTGCATTCCAGGCATAGGGCTGCGAACCTTGACAGTATAAATGCCCAGTGTGCATGTAGCCCACGGCGGTTTCCTGCACATTGGCACTTCTGCAATTAGCTTTTCTAAGCACAGAAAAAGTTATTTTGAAAGTAGAAAAAACTTTTAGGCCTCATTCAGTTTAGCTGCATATACAGAAAACAAAATTCTGTGCATCCAAGTCTAATTAGAACACTTGTAAACAGAGCTAAATGAAGGAAAATGCAGTGCAAGAAAAAGTGATCTGAAAAGCATAAAAGTTGTTTATACTTTGTATCCCAGATCACTTTCTAACCTTTTAGATGTTCCTGCTTTAGAGCTTGTTCACAGTGGAAGTCGGTGCAGTAAACCCACATTCCATGTGCATTTCCCACACCTTGTTCAAAACGCACTGGCTGTGCTATCTGCTGCATTATAACACTAACAAAATCCCAATTAGAGATCACAAATGCAGTGCATTTGTTTGCACCAGATAGCATAGTACCGCAATATACATTCCGGTGCATTGTGTTTTTGAAAATAGTGCATGCACCACTTTTAATGCAATCTAGTGTGTATTTGGCCCATTCAAATGAATGGGCTGAAAAAATTACACCGTACTGGGTTTTATATGGAAATCTTACAGGAACGCAGACCACGTTTCCATGCAGTTCACGTGTGAACTGGCCCGCAAAAGAGCTGCTTTTAGGCACATTTACTTGTGTTTAGAATTTCTAATTGGACCCTGGACCAACAGAATTCTATTTTCTCCCAACACCACTAACCAACCATACCCTGTACACAGATTTATTTATTACAGCATGTTTGTATATAGCACCATCAGTTTATGCAGCGCTTAACATATATACTGTGCAATCGCATCAGTTTCTGCCCTCAAGGAGTTTACAATCTAAAGTCTTTACATATCATTCATACATACACATACTGTGATCAGTTTAGGGAGGAGCCAGTAAACCTACCAGCATGTCTTTTGGAGTGTGGAAGGAAACCGGAGTATGCAAACTCCAAGCAGGTAGTGCGGTGGTTGGGATTCAAACCACTTAGCCACTGTGCTACCCACCAGTTAGCCTTATGCATTTAGAAGTGTCCTTTAAACAGAGGTTTGACAGTACCATTTACCAGTGTAAATGAATTCTTTGAGAGCCATTCAGAAAAGATCTTCAGATTGCATACTAACCCAAGACATTTGACCCATTTCACATTTCAATCGGGGTCCTGGAATCCCACCATTGCCATAATATGTACAGTGTCTCTAACTATGATGGTTGTAGGTGTCCTCACTGTGCCAAATCCTGGAGCAATAACAGTAGTTTGTGCCCCCCATCACCCCCTACGAACAGCAAGGGGAGGTTTAAAGCAAAGGAATACTTACTACTTCCCCACGTCCACAAGCTTCATCAATACCATTTGAGTGGTCCTACAAAGCCACTTCTCCTAGCTGTCAATGCAGCGCGGCCTCTCCAATGTCTTCACGTATAATGCAGGAGCAACCATTCTGTATTGTATGTGATTACCATGAAGGCCCCCCTACAAACCAGAAGGAGAGTGCTGGTTATCAGAGGAGCAAGCAATTTGGCAAGTATTCTTTTAAACTCAATGAACATTTAATCTGAACACTGAAGGTTGGGGGAGAGATTATAATTATGCCATAATGTTATCAAGAAACATTTTAACTGATGTACCTTTTTAAGGGTGAATACAGATATCTTCAATGTTTTTTTTGTTGTGTTCTGTAGGATGACACTCCTGGAACACCAAAAAAAAAGGAAACCAAAAGAAAGTTCAAGCTGGAGCCCCATGAGGATCAGGTTTTCCTGGATGGCAATGAGGTGAGACTGCCAGCAGAACGTCACTTTTACAACCCAAGGAGCTTTCCAGCCACTAGTTTGTTTTGAAATATTTAGTTATACTGGGAGCACTTTAAGACTGAAAGCGGCATTACACACAAAACCAAAAATATAATATATTGTAGCTTACCAATCATTAGATGTGGTGACTGCATTGGTTTTCCTTTTTTAGGCTTTTTCCTGTGTTGTCACCTGGTGATATTGCCAGTAACACACCTTCCTGTATTAGAGTGCCCCTACTCTGGATGAAGGAGCACAGGAGCTCCTTTTAGATAGATCTCAGCATAGTCAGTCTGGTGGCAGGGGAGTGTTAGATGGACTTGCAGATTTAAATACACATTGCAGCCAAACTCCAGTTAACAATTATAAGCAGTTACAGCACATTTTGCATAAATAAAAGCTGGTCATTGTGAGCCCCCTGTCTGTGTTAAATAGTTTGTCTCACTCTGTAACGGATACAGTCTGCAGAACAGCTTGTTCTTTTGAAAATCAGACTTACTGGCTACATCACCACATGAAAATAGAAGAAAGCCTAAAAAAATGAATGCAGCCATCACATCTAATGGGTAAGCTGCAATTTAGTAAATGTTTGCTTTTTGGTTTAATGCCTCATGCACACAGGATTTTTTTTAACTCTTAGAAGTCAGCAGCATTTTTGCAGAAAAAAATGCCTGACACTTGTTAAAGTTTCTAATGCTTTTACAGGTGTTTAGGTGCATTTACAAGCATCAAGCTTTTGGGCATTAATTTCATAATATTGCATGAAGCAGTTGTCCAGGAATCTGCAATGTGTAAACTAAATTAATTTTTAGGCTATATTATTTGTATCTGATTGCCATGGGTCAAAGATGGCTTTTTCAAATGCAGATCGGTTGTAAAGAAAAAGGGTTCTTACTGGATTTCTTTTTTTAACTGCATCTAATGGAAAATGCAACTAAAACTGCAAAAACTACATGCTACAAAATACTCAGAGTATAGTGTGCACCCTTCCATAGCAAACTGCACACAGCATTTATAGTAACATACAGTGAAGGAAATAAGTATTTGATCCTCTGCTGATTTTGAATGTTTGCCCACTCACAAAGAAATGATCAGTCTAAAAATCGAATGGTAGGTGTATTGTAACACTGAGAGACAGAATAGCAACAGAAAATTCAAAAGAAATGCATGTCTTACAAATGATGCACTGATTTGCATGTTCATGAGGGAAATAAGTATTTGATCCCCTTCACTAAACATGACTTAGTACTTGGTGGCAAATCCCATGTTGGCAATCACAGAAGTCAGACGTTTCCTGTAGTTGTCCATCAGGTTTGCACACATTTCAGTAGGGATTGTGACCCACTCCTCTTGGCAGATCATCTCCAAGTCATTAAGGTTTGGTGGTTGACGTTTGGCAACTCGAACTTTCAGCTGTCTCCACAGATTTTCAATCGAATTAAGGTCTGGAGACTGGCTAGGCCACTCCAGGACCTTAATGTGCTTCTTCTTGAGTCACTCCTTTGTTGCCTTGGCCATGTGTTTTGGGTCATTGTCATGCTGGAACACCCATCCATGACCCATTTTCAATGCCCTGGCTGAGGGAAGAAGGTTCTCGCCCAAGATTTCACGATACATTGCCCCATCCATCGTCTCTGTGATTCGGTGCAGTTGTCCTGTCCCCTTAGCAGAAAAACACCCCCAAAGCAGAATGTTTCTACCACCATGTTTGACAGTTGTGATGTGTTCTTGGGGTCATAGGCAGCATTCCTCCTCCTCCAAACATAGCGAGTTGAGTTGATGCCAAAGAGCTCGATTTTGGTCTCATCTGACCACAACACTTTCAACCAGTCCTCCTCTGCATCATTCAGATGTTCAGTGGCAAACTTCAGACGGGAGAGGACATGTGCTTTCTTAAGCAGAGGGACCTTGCGGGCACTGCAGGATTTCAATCCTTGTCGGCGTAGTGTGTTACCAATTGTTTTCTTGGTGACTGTGGTCCCTGCTGCCTGTAGATCATTGACAAGATCTTCACGTGTAGTTGTGGGATGATTCCTCACTGTTCTCATGATCATTGACACTCCACGAGGTGAGATCTTGCATGGTACACCAAACCTAGAGAGACTGACAGTTGTTTTGTGTTTCTTCCATTTGCGAATGATTGAACCAACCGTTGTCACCTTCTCACCAAGCTGCTTGGCGATAGTTTTGTAGCCCAGTCCAGCCTTGTGTAGGTCTACAATCTTGTCCCTGACATCCTTGGACAGCTCTTTGGTCTTTGCCATGGTGGAGAGTTTGGAATCTGATTGTTTGATTGCTCCTGTGGACAGGTGTCTTTTTATACAGGTAACAAAATTAGATTATCAGCACTCCCTTTAAGAGACTGCTTCTAATCTCAGCTTGTTACCTGTATGACACCTGGTAGCCAGAAATCCTGCTGAAAGATAGGGGATCAAATACATATTTTTTGTTGCTATTCTGTCTCTCAGTGTTACAATACACCTACCATTCGATTTTTAGACTGATCATTTCTTTGTGAGTGGGCAAACATTCAAAATCAGCAGGGGATTAAATACTTATTTCCTTCACTGTAACTCTGAGGATTCACGCATTATAATAAGCATTAGCATTTACTATGGTAAAACTGATGTTAAATATGGTACTTGTTTTCAGTGAAAGTATAACTAAAGCCAATTTTTTTTTTGATTTGGATAGAGTGGAGTGGGATTAAAGGCTAAGTTCACCTTTTGGGAGAAAAAATAATAAATGCATATATTTTTCCAGGAAAAAAATGTGCATTTGCTATTTTTTTTTTTCCCCTCAGGAGCTTTCAAAGCATAGCACCCATGATCAGTGCATCTGGGTGCAGTGTCGGATTCCAACAGACAAGCCTTGTCTGCAGGAACCCGACACTGCACCCATATCCACTGATCATGAGTGCAATGCTCTGCAGGCTCCTGAGGGGGGAAAAAAACTAATAAATGCGCATAGTAAAAAAGTCAACATTACAGCCAGTGGAAGAAGAGGTTTTTTTGAATAGGTGAAACTAAAAAAACACTTCATGTTTCTCTTTCCTTTATTTTAGATGGTTAATGGCTAAAATGCCTGTCAACATGTTTTGTCATTTATGTCCCAATTGGGAGCGTTCCCTTTGATTCCTGTCCTGAAGACGCAACAGTAATGTAATAGGAAATATTTCCAAAGCAAGGGAACTCCCTCACTAAGACAGTTTTCACCAGGACGGGTGTCCCCATTTGGATTCCCCCTATACTCTTGTTCTGAAAGCTTTGAATTTTCCCTTGTTTTAGTCTCTGTGACAATTGTCACCAGAACACAGGCTGATGAAGACTTGTCAGAGGTTCTAATCCCTCACCACTCAATTCAAAACTCATGTTTTATCTTTAGACACACTTTTTAAATGTTTTTTTCTATAATGTTCATAATAAAGATTATCATCACTGTTAACTACGGAAGGTAGTTCCATTGGTATAGTTGGCTATACATGCAAAACACAATTGTATATGCATAGGAAGATGCATATGAATACAAAAGAGTAATGTTTAATGAATTCTACAATAGAGTAGATGAGGGATGAAGGCATACAAAAGTGGTAGCAAATCACTCCTTAGTATATATTGGTTAACTACTGCAGTGTCCAATGATATTTAACTTTAATAAAGCATTAAAAATATTCAGTTAAATTTTACTGTATGCTCGCTCATGGTATGGAAGGATTTGTTTTCCTCCATTATACTTATTAGACATTTTAGACTTTTTTTTTTTTTCCTTCGGTGTTTAAAGATTTCTCATTTCTAAACTGTTAAAAATGTTTTTAGGTGTACGTGTGGATATATGATCCAGTCCATTTTAAAACTTTTGCCATGGGGCTCATCCTTGGTAAGTGCCTTCAGAAGTTTGTGGTACAGGTGAATGTGTCAAAAAGTGTTTTCTAATCCCTTTATGATTCAAGGTTGTCTTACAAATGGACCAGGCAACCATGTATGTACTTCAGTTTGGACAGTCCAACTTGGAAATATGGTCTTATTGTATATATTTTCTGCCTTCAAAAGTAGCAGTATTATGGCTCTAGTGGTCTCAAAATAAAATGGCAGGTTTGATCCTTTTTGGGGTCATTTTGAAGCAGAATGTATATACATGTGGGTCCTTTTGAAGCAAACTGGGTATCTGTAATAATTGTTAACTTGTTTGAAGATTGTTATATTACCTCTCAGTAAAATAAATAGTTTTTGATTATTTTTTTGTCTTACTTAATTGTTCTCTTCCAGTTAGAGCTGAACTATCAAGCTATAAGTCTGCAAGGCCATCTCACCACCTGTCTGAGCTTGGTGATGATAAATCAAAAAACTATCAAAGTTGCTGTCAGGATATACAATAGCAAACAAAAGGATTGCTTGAGGATTATTATGCCTCTCCAACAGCCTGGACTAAGTGTCAGTTGTAAGCGCTAAGCTCATACAGGATGACATTTCAGCCTTCCCATGGGTATTATAGCTTGAACAGAGCTAAATCTTCTGCCATGCCAAAGAAGAGAATACAATTAAAGCAGAGCTTTACCCATAAAAACTTGATAAAAAACAATGTAGGGATAAATAATGTAGTAGGGAACATACATTCCACATTAAAGCAGTAGTAAACCTCAAGAAAGAGAAGAAAATAAAAAAAAAGTCCCCTGCAAGGTAATGTAAAAAAAAAACTTACTTTAAAATGAAGCCCTCCAGCGGTACGCTGTCACCGCTGCAGAAGCTTCCATCTACACCCGGTCCTTCTTTTGGGTTCCCGATGTCTGGCCGTCTGACAGGCCGGGCCACGGCACACAGCTCTGAAGGAACAGCCACGGGTATGCCATTCTTTCAGAGGCATGCGCCGGCTTTAGGAAAGAGTGCATGTTTAGTAGATCTTCATTTTACCTACAGGTAAGCTTTAATATAAGCTTACCTGTAGGTAAAATAAAAAAAAAAAAAAACGAGTTTACTACCACTTTAATAATTATGCTACCAAAATTAGTGTGCACTGTAAATTGCCTCCAGCATTGTTCCTGTTTCTTCTTGCTGGAGGCTGCCATTTGGCTGAAGCCCAGAGCCCCTGAACAGCAGTAAAGCAGAACCAAACCCATCGCTTAAATTGTTTTAAAAAAACAGTTCTGTTCCTGGAATGTGGGATTGCTAACTGTCACATTTGCTTGTGTCCTCAACCAAACTGTCAAATCATCAACTGGCTGGTGGCATAACTGATCACATGTAGAGCACCATGGCAGTTACAGATCAAATCATGACCTCCTGTATTCCCTTCCAAGGGACACTAAACCTGTATTTCACCTTAGATGGGCTGTTGGTGCTATACCATATCTATGCCAATGGAGTTAAAGAGTAGCCTTACTCGGAAAACATAAGAGAAAATGAAAGGGAGGAAAACTAGACAAGTATCAAAATTTAAGGAAATCTAGGTGTAGGGTAATAAACGTAGAGAAAAGGAGGAAATAGGAAGAGCATTATCGTCCTAAAACATTCTACATCCAAACTTCCCAGCCCACAACCTGTAGGCTACCAAGCAGTGCAGTGCCCAACAGACGTCGTTCTGGGAATGCCACAGTTCCCAGACTCTGTTGTGTCTATCAAGGGTGTCATTCAATTGAGCAGTGAGCGACTCCATTAGCTCCACATCCTTAATTCTGGAATATAGTGCCACTTTCTTTTTGTTTCCAATGGAGAGCCACAAGACATCTAGCTGCAGTAAGGATGTGTCGCTGGAGATTTTTTGCTCAATTTGAGCAGGGGGGGGGGGGAACAATCACAGCAGATACATCTTAGGCATGAATGGTAAATCAGAGTCAATAAGGCATTGTAGCATTTGATGGACCCACTGCCAATAAGGCACAATCCGTGGGTAATGCCAATATATATGAATGAGGGAACCCTTACCCAGGTGACATCGCCAGCATGCATCCTTAACCTCAGGGTATATAATGTGCAGTAGCTCTGGAGTGTGGTACCAAAAATATAAGATTTTATAAGCGTTTTCCTTACAAAGGGAACAAACCGAACTCTTAGCCGCCAGAGACCATACTACATGCCAAGTCGCTAGAGGAAGCTCCTCTCCTAGGGCCCTTTTACATTTAAGCATATAAGCATGTTTCCCAGAGGTTTGAAAGGGACAAGAATTCAATAACTTGTGTATATCTGAAATCAGTTCTTTGCATGAAGGACTTTCGGCCATCAGCCGTTTAAAAGGGATCGGTTTGGAGAACGGGAGGGTGGGAGTGATGCATAGAGCATAGTGGCGTATCTGCATATAGCCAAATAAGGCATTAGCTGGCAGTTGATATCTGTCTTTAAGTATTGAAAAAGGAAATAGTTTACGAGTAATAGGGTCTACAACATGGCGGAATTGGAACAGTTTCAGCTGTTGCCACGGATGTGACATGGAAGCAGATAGGCTGTCTGGCACTTAGCGATTAAATAGGAAGGCAGTCATGCAGGAAACCTCCGATTTTAAGAGCATACTTACAGGTCAGAGCCTTCCAAAGCCCACGAAGAAAGGAAATGGATGAGAGGGACCTATCCAGAGTCACTGAGATCTCTGCATTCCACAGCAAATTATTTGGATGGATCGGGGCCAGCCAAAGTTTTTCAATCTCAGTCCACCTATTGTATGCATATAGCGTGGGCCAAGAAGCAAGTGCACATAAATGTGTTGCTTGGAAATAAGTGAACAGATTTGGGAATGCTAGTCCATCATTCCTCAAAGGCAAGCAGGACAGATCACAGGTCATATTGTAATTCATGAAGGTGTGGGGTAGGGACCGAAATTGGGAGGGTTTGGAACAAATACAGTAGCTCAGGGAGAATATTAATTTTAACCAAAGTCATTCCACCAAACCAGGAGATATGGGAAGTTTTCCAGCTAGAAGGGACGCTCTAATGGATTTAAACAATGAAAGAAAGTTTTCTTTGTAAAGTGCATTGTATGTTGGAGTGATGCGGATGCCCAATTATAAGAAAGCTGGTTTCCACAAGTATGTGAAAGTGGATGAGAGACAAGCAACCTCATCACAAAGAAGATTTATAGGGAGGGCACAGGCACTTATTTTTAATGTTTTACATAGCTATATCTGTAAAAGGGGCCATCCTGAAGTGATCTAGTAGGACTCGATTTTCTGACTAAAGTTCCACTTTAAATAAGAGTTCATGCAGTTATCCCAGAGAATTTATTTATCCCAGCCTTATTTTGTATCTGAACACCACATTCTTACAAATGGACATTCCTGACTTAAAGTGGAACTAATCCCTCCTATCCTTTACAGACAAAGAAGATTCCATCTTAGCCTCTGTTTGCTATGCAGTTGCCATTGTACTGCACATTGTGATCAGCTATGATACCAGCCATTTGATGGCTTGACAGTGTAGTTGAGAGTGGACTTAAGCACACTTGTAACAGTTATTAGTCAAGGCATGCCCTAAATGTAACTGATTGAGAAATAGTTCATTTGGTGGATCTAGTTCTGTTTTAGTAGAAATGTATAGTAGAAGTGCTCATCATTTTTTTTTTTTTTTTTCAGGACTAAAGAATTTTTTAAAAGAATGTTTGTTTTTGGGTAAAAATATGAAGTGTTATTTTCCATTCTTTCAGCCAGAAGGGGAAGATTTGCAATCCTCTTCGTGTTTTACAGGCTCTCACTTTGCAGAACAGCCTGTTTACAATACTCAGTAGCTCAAACTGAAAATAACATAACTGAATTAATCACGGTCTAGGTCCAATTCTTTCAGCAGGCACCATGTGATGTGTTGCATTTTTAGGTAATCCATGGTGCTCAGGGAGTCCTTTATCTATTGTTTGTAGTGACAGTTCCCCAGTACACTCGGAAACTTGAACCATGGTAACAGAAGCTGTTCTGCGAAAATACTGACATTTAGTAGGTTGCCTTCTTACCTTAACCTCTTTTATGTTATTAATGGACAATGTATTTGCATATCTATATGTCTTTCTGTATCTTTCTCTCTTTCGTTCTTATGATTGCATAATATTTAATGCCATCTGATGTTTTAGTGAGGCACAGCCCACCTTACTCAATGCCTAGATGTTCTCAAGGCCTAAATGTCCCAGACTGCTAAAATAAGTTTTAGGTATAGAATTATACCTTAAAACTGATCTCTTAATCGTACATTATAGGACACAAGCTGGGAGCTCATAAACCCTTGGTCACAGACTGCTACCTTTTGGGTGATTGGACACTGGCAAAGCTTTAGAACATGCCCCCCGGGTGCATTTCTTTAACCCTACCCAACTCCAGGAGACCTTCATTTTTTGCTAATGTCCTTCGGTGTTGGACATCTTCTCCATTTGACTTCTTCAGTGAATATTTCACTGCCTTCTACTATAACAATTGTAGCAGTACATTCAGATCAGTGCAAACTCAGTAACACCATGGGAACTGTGCCCTGAACCCTGCTTGGCTGCTCACAGTGTTACTAAGTGCAGTGCATGTAGTTAACCAAAGGGTGTGTACAGGTCCAGGGCCATGGTCCATTCCTATGGTTCCTAGACCCTAAATACCACTTCAGGGCTATGCCCACCTTTACTAGTGAAGCCTATCCTATTATTGCAGTGATGCTGTAGCCTTATATCAATTTTGGGACCTAATATCTCCATTACTTGTGAGACACTTATTAGTGTCTACTGAAAGTATTCATGTATACGGTAAAGCTATCAAGAAACTGGGAATGTGTTTGCCTTTCTGCACACAGAAAAAATGAGATGCTCTTATGCAGCTATAATGCCGCTGTTTCAGTTTTAACCAATAGGTCTGATACATCTGTGGCCCGGAGGGTTGCAATCAGTTTCAGAGGGGTACAAAATACAGTTTCAAACTCACCCCCCTCATCATTGTCTTCTCTCAAACCAACCCAAATCTGCCTGAGAATAGTCAGATTTACAGACAGTTCTGGATCACCTCTTGTCCCAGGAACTGGTAGTTCTAGTCACTTTAGAGGACCATTTCAAAGGATTCTATTCAAACCTGTTCACTGTACTAAAAAACCCAAAGGGAGTATTCATCCTATCCTGGACCTAAAATCCATGCCATTTTTATTCCCAAATTTTACATGGAATCCACAAGATTGGTTATTTGCCTCACTGACACAAGGGTAATATGCCTACCACCATATTCTTAGTTTCCCACTTAATCAGCGCTTTCAGCACTTTGTAGAAGGAGACAAACACTTCTTATTTGTCACACTGCCATTTGGCCTATCCTCTGTATTTACAAAGGTGCTTGCACCCCCTACTTGATCTTCTTAAGAACTCAGGGCATACAGGGTACCTGGACAACCTTCTGAGGGATTTATCTCCCTCAAAATGTCTGCAAACGACCAAAGGGCTTTTCAGATTCTTCAGGCCTTCAGGCTTTTGGTTGGGTAATCCACTTCAAAATGTCTGCCCTCCACCACACTTTCCTTCATCTGAAATACTTAAGCCTCATTCTAGACATGGTTGAGGCAAGCAATCTTCTCTCTCTAAGATCTCATGCTCTGACTCCCAACTTTCCTATGCTTCTCTGCTAGTCAAGCAAGGAAATCACTAGCTTGGTAGAGTTCCGAACCAGCCTTGGAAATGTGAAAGTTATTTCTCCAACAAGTGTGGAAGGTGATAACAGATTACAGCCTCACAGGCTGGACAGTGTCCCAATCTCTCACAGGGTACCTGGTCACCCAGGGAGGCAAAACTCCCCATCAACATCTTTGTGCTCAGAAAAATAAAATTGCCTGTGCACCCTTGGGCCCACCTTCAGCATGTTCGCCCTGTCAGGGTGTAATCAGACAAGATCACTTTAGTGGTCTATGTCAGTCATCAGGGGAGTAGCTGGAGACAAGCAGCCTTGAAGGATGTACGTCTTAGATCTTGGGTGAAAAAAAAATTATGTCCAGCTATCTCGCCTGTTCATGTCCCATGAGTGGATGATTGGAAAGTGGATTTCCTCATTCATTGCTGCTGGGATCAGAGGAGAACAGTCCCTTTCATCCCAACGTCTTCAATCTCTTGTGCCTGAAATGAGGGACCCCAGATGTGGACATCCTGGCCTCCAAGTTCAAAAAAGTTACCCCTGCCTAAGGTCAAGACCAAGGATCTTCTAACACTGGCATTAGATTATCTGGTAATTTCATGGACTTTGTTCAGGTTAATACATGAATACATGCCTTCCTTCCAGTACAAATTCTTCCTCGACTTCTCTGCAAGATAGAAGTGAAGAAGAAATTGGTGGTTCTCATTGCATCAAAGTGGTTCATAGGAACCTGGTACATAGATATACTCAAACTGGTAAGAGAGGGCCCCTGGCTTGTTCCATATAGGCCAGATCTGCTGTCTCAAAGCCCCTTTCTCCATCACTGGTTTTAAAGGCATGGCTGTTGAAACCTAGGTCTTAAAGGAGAGGGGTATATCTAACTCTCTATTGTTAAAACCTTCATTCAAGGTGTCTCAGATAAAACCCATATTACAGCAACCTATGCTTTCTTGGGATCTCAGTTTTGTTTTCTTTGCCCTACAGAAACCACCCTTTGATCACTCCATTTGGGTGATCTCTCCTGTAAAGTGGCCTTCTAGGTGGCTATCACATCTGTCCTATGTGTATGAGGTAGCAGGCTCTCTCTAGTAAGGAGCGCTGATTCTTCACGGGGACAAAGTGGTTTTACGTCTAAGACCCTCTTTTCTACCTAAGGTGATATCTATTGAAGGCCTTGTCCTTTCTTCCTTATTCCTTGCTCCTAAGCATCCAGAGAAATTGCTTTCCCTTCTCTGGATGCGGTCAAAACTAGTAAAGTCTGTCTGGAAAATGTACTCTCTTGTTTTGCAACCAGTATCTGGAGGGGATACCCTGCTTGCAAGTCTGCTATTGCTAGATGGATGACAGCTCATTGTTTGAGCTAACACTCTGAGGAATAAGGTACCTAAAGTATCTTTACGTGCTCACTCCACCAGATCAGTTGAGGTGTGATTAACATTTCAACATCAAGGATGTCACTAAGCTTTCTGAGGTAACCACCTGGTTTTCAGTTAACACATTTTCCATGTTCTACCGGGTGGATGTCTGGGCCTCTGCGGATGCATCTTTTGGTTGCCAGATACTTTTCAGTGGCACTCTGAGTTGGGTCCTTCACCCTTGTCTGTTTTGGTGGACCCATTGGCATGGTTCGGTTTACCTTGTTATTGCCCACCCCCCTGATTCATTGCTTGGGGACATCCCAGGGTCTATGAAAATCCTGTACTGCACTGAGAGAAATTGTAACTTTAAAATCCATTTATTGGAGTACTGTGCAGGACATAGGCTCCTTCCCTCTGTTTTTGTTGCTCTGCATTGCTTGATAAAAGCCAGAGGTCTCACAGAATGATGTAGATTTACAGAGGTATGCTTGGGTTGTCCAAAAACTTGCCAGTGTCTAATCACCTTAGGGTAGTAGCCTATAACAACCCTGGGTCTATGAACGTGTAAGCTGTGCCCTGTACTGTACTCCAATATATGGGATTTACAGGTAAATTCCTTTTGGGGTGTGTGTTGTTTTTCGCAAACTTCTTACTGTTTTAAGTATGTTGGCTTGTTGACATAAGGAAATTCCCTGCTTTAAGACAATGTTTTGTGTCATACAAGAGTCAAGGATAGGAAATGCAAGTAAAAATATACTGCACATCTTTCAGTTGTGTGTGAAAATAAAACTGAGGCAGATTGAGAGCAACAGGGACATAGAGAGTTAATATGTTGGCAATATCTATACCTCTGAGTGTAGTCGCAGGTTACGTAAATTGTTACTTATTGCATCTGTCTGTGTGTGGCTATAATTAATTCTTCTCTTCTTTTACAGTGATTGCTGTGATTGCTGCCACTCTCTTCCCACTTTGGCCAGCAGAGATGCGTGTAGGGGTGTATTATCTCAGTGTGGGAGCTGGGTGCTTTGTGGCTAGTATTCTTCTGCTTGCTGTTGGTAAGCCTCCTCTATAAATGGTATTTGCATTTAGTCTGCTGTTGTTAATCTACTTGGTAACCACTAGGTGCCCTCATCACTTCACATCATCTCTGTTTTTTTTTTTCTGTTTTTTTTTTTTTGTTTTTTTTATCTGTCAGCTATCTTTACTGGAAAGTGTGGCAGAAATTGATGAAATGCTATGGTTGATACTTCTGATCTAGCATTTTTTAGTGCCAGCCTAATGTGCTACTTCTGTTTCACAGTACCAGTTAGCCCCAATTCACACTTGAGGATTTTTCAGTTTTCTCTACATCTGAATACATTCAACATGCAGAATCCCATTCTTTTTAATTGTCCCTGTTCACACTTGCACACTCAGTTGCCCTATGCTCTACACCCTATGCTTAAAAGCACGTGTTTAGTTTATTCTGTTGCTTGTTGGACCCATAGAATTCAATGGGAGTATCTGTAAATGTGCGATATACACATTTTTTTGTGCCTGAAGAACTCCTCTCCTCTAGAATTGCTCTTCTTTTGCCCAGCTTAGGAAACAAATTCCTGAAGCTTGATACACATGCAAAAACTCTTTCTTAAGGCTTATAAAGTGTCTTATAAAAATTCAAAATCAATAAAAATATGCTTTGCTCAGGTGTGAATGCAGACTAAATGTAAAGTGCATTGCAAATGGTCAACATAATAAAAAATGCAGCCTGTATATTTTTGTTCATTATTTTGTACATTAAAGGCTCATGCGTGGGGCAGCTTGGCCTGTATAGCTAGTATACCAGTATTTTTGAGGACATGGGAGCCACAGGTACATTGTACTGCCCTCTGTCAACATCCTATCAAGGTCAATGACTGTCTGAATACATAGCGGCTCAACACGGTTCCAAGCCGTAACCGAGTTTAGGGCCAGTTATATGAACCCTAATGTAGTGCATCATAGATATAATAAAATCTCTGAAGTCAGCCTTTAGTTTGCCCATAAGTGCTACAAAAACATATTGTAACTATCTTTTTACATTGTAGTTATTAATATAGATTTATTCACTACTTAGGCACAGAGCAAGATCTCCTTTGTCAGACTTAAGCTGGCCATACATGACTTGAATTTCACAGGAATCAGGCAAAAAATTAAGTTGTGGGTGACCCTGCCAACATTTAGCTCAACAGACTTTGTCTGAGAGAGTGAAGGATCCAGTTGGAAAATGTCAGCCGTACAGTGACTTCGGCTGTTCCACTGTTTGGGGTATTTTAACAGCCAGAGAAGCTGGCTGTCAGAATACTTTTCCCGGCAGCTGAAGATACATCTATCCATGCTGTTTATTGTGGATGGGGAGTGTTTATGGCTTTCTCTTGTTCTGCTTGCTGCGCTGAATGAGAGAAATTTTTACTTGTATGGTCAGCTCTACCATTGGGCCCAGTCTGTCACACCCTCTAAAGTGAGCACTGCATGGGTGGGTGGGCAGAGTGCAGGGTATAATACAGGATATTCCTCCTAGCTATAACAGTTTAACTCCTAAACCTGAGATTTCTAACCAGTTAAAGCTTAACTCCAGGTTTCATTTAACTTTAAATAGTTAGCCAAGCTAAGCCAAACTATTTCCATTTACTAATGCATGCAGCCGCTTTCAGCGCTCAATACAGTATGTATTGTTGTGTTCCAGTAGTGTTCCCGGAACAAAATTGAGTCAGACTGGGCACTTCTCAGCCATTCACTGGAAGCTAGGAATCTTATTGCAAAGTTTTCTTTGATTGGCTGAGGTGGAGAGGCAAGCAGATGTCATGATCTCCACCTCAGCCAATAACAGGAAGCTTTGTATTCATTCATAAAAATACAATGCTTCCTGTGAATGGCTGAGCAGTGCCATTTTTTGTTCTGTAAATGGAACAAAAAGTCCCCCTCCCGCTGATGGAACACAGCGCTGTATACCGAATGTAGCTGATGCTATATACGGTTTATACAGCGCTGACAGGGTGCACTTCTTTAGTGAAGAAAATTGTTCATATGGGACAGCTTGGCCCAAACGAACTATTGAAAGTGAATGGAAACCCAAGGCTTTAAACAATCCAGGTCTTGCTTCACAGTAGGTTGAGAGTGTGCATTTGTGGAAAGTACATATTAATCTTCTCATTTTAGTGTTTTAATTTCCTGTCTTCTATTTTCAGCTCGCTGTATTCTGTTCCTTATCATTTGGCTCTTGACTGGAGGTAGACACCACTTCTGGTTCCTGCCTAATTTAACCGCAGACGTGGGCTTCATTGACTCCTTCCGACCACTGTATACACATGAATACAAGGGACCAAAGGCAGAGCAGAAAAAAGAGGAGAAAGCTGAGTCCAAAAAGCCTGTAAAGTCTGACAGTGAGGATAAATCTGACAGCGAGAAAAAGGAAGAGGAGGAGGGTAAGGTTGCTGAAGCAGCAGAGGGATCAGGCACAGAAGGCTCAGGTGCGGACAGGCAGTCAGACACAGACAGTGACAGAAGAGAGGATGACGGCTCACAGCACAGTAATGGCAATGGCAATGATTTTGAAATGATCACGAAAGAGGAACTTGAACAGCAAACAGATGAAGGAGACTGCGAAGAAGACGACCAGGATTTAAAAGCAGAGTCAGAGCCTCTTTGTGATAAATCTTAAGACGTTGGCCAGGCTTTAGGACTGATTATATTCAAATAACAGAATTTTTATTTCCCGTGGAGTGATCACCAAAACATTACACACATCTCTTCACTGTTTTTTCAAATATGCAGGATCTGTAGGGATCATCAAATTCACTAGGCTAAAAAAAAAAAGTAGTGTTACAAAAAACAAAACTTAAATCTGCTACTAAATATATTTTGTGTTCCTTTTTTTTTTTCTAGGTAAAAATCCAAAATGTGAGGGATTAGATGCTTATTCTTATCCTGCTTGTCCATAGTGTTCAGTCATGTACAATCCATTGGTTTGTGTTGGGATGAGAAGCTGATCTGACCTCTGCATGCTGCTCACACGTTGTTGCCTGTCTGGTGCATGTAATGCAATAAGGTCTTTTCATTTCAGGACGTGTTCGAGGTATATCTCAGAAGATCTCAGTTGTAGCAAAGTATTTAATTCTACGTCTGTTCTCAAGGGGTTAGCCTCTTTTATAAATGCTTGATCTAGTCAGTGTGTCTTCAGCACCTGACAGTAAAGTGCTATTACCTTAACTGAACATCTGACTTTTCTGTTCATAAATGTTCTTTTTATTGATTTTGATGATCCCTATTTAAATATAGTTCATACTATGTCTGTCCCTTTTTTATGTTTATTAAAAATGAGATTTTTTTTAATGCAACCTTTATTCATGGACAACCCTTCTGTCTAATAGTTGAATTGACCACTTTAGGTTTGTTTTAAAGCTAAAAAAAAAAAAAAAGAAAGAAAAAAAAAGGACTGCGTTTTTATGGTGTTCATGGTACGTTTTGCCACATAACTGCTTTGTATGTGGTAGAATGATAATAACATTTGTATATCAGAGATGTTCAACAGTACATTTTTATAGTATTAATGGGCTTCAGTTTTAAAGGCCAGATTCCACTTTCTGCCACACCTCATATGGTAAAGCAGGTCACTGGGAAATAAACTATTTATAATTTTACTTTATTACTGGTTTTATTATATAAGCCCTTGCAGGATCTATTTTGTCCAGTGAGAAATGTTCTGCTTTTGACATGGGGAACCTTTAGGCATTCATGGGTTTATGTTGAAAGGCAAAGTGCAGTATACAGTTACCAATCGTTATTGGTAGAGTTGATCACACTTTGTATCTCATCCATGCTGTTTGCACTGCCTTGTTGAAAAAGACAGATGGCACAGAATGTCAATGAAAACATTGACGTTCTGACAGCTAAAACAACTGCCTATGTTTCCTGTGACAGTGGCCTAGATTTTAGCATTGAATATAAGTACATCACATACTATACAGTTGTGCAATTTAGGACTAATATGAATTAAAAGTGTTGATGATTTCAACGTCCTGACTTTCACTGGGAAGCATGTCAGAAACTGGATATTTACTTTTGGAAAAACAAGACAAAAATAACTGGTTAGCGCTGAAGCACTTTTTCTATGGCTTCTGTACCTATGACTGAAGTTTGCATTTCCTGCAGGCCTGTCTTGTAATTGCAGGCTAGGTATTTTACCTGGCTATGCCAATTATAAAGGTTTTTCGATGCTGTACTCCAGCATCCCTGGCTTGCCACATACCTGTCTTTCTCTGTTCTTTTAACATCTTAAAGTTTTACTAAACCCACAACAGTAAAATCAGTCTGTAAAAGGAGAAAACCTTGCTTGTTTCTCAATGTGGAACTTAAGGGGTTATTTCTCTACATTTTATAAAAAGACTGTTTGATCCTCCCTGCCTTCTACTGTCCCCAATCTATCTGCTGATAGTACAGAAGTGTGGGAGACACTCTGCACATGCTCAGTTTGGTGTGTATTGCTAGAGAGGTGTTTTTTTTTTTTTTCGAGAGGGTGCATATGATCAGCACAGGGCCAGTCAGCACTGTCCAGACAGAGGGTCAGGGTCATGCAGCCTCATAGGACAGTCAGAGGAGAATGAAAACTTCTCCTACAAGCTTTAACCAGTGCTCAGCAGGACTCTGATAGGAGTCAAAATACTGCTATATACTGCACATAAGAAAAGGTATTTAGCAGTTTATATTTACTAAAATAATTGCATTTCTATGTACTGTGAAACCAGATATAGTAAATGCAGGGACCTGGGTTTAGTAACACTTTATGAGCCTTGTTCAGCACTTGCAGCCTCTTTAAAATCCTCTTAGTCACAACATGCTACTCCCATATGTGTGCCATGATCTCTATTCCAATAGACAGTTCCTGCTTTATCAGACAGAGCAGCCTCACAACTCAGATCTCTCTGAAACAGGGGAAGGCATGTATGTGACTTACCAGGGTGGATGTAGTGGTGTTTTGGGACCCACTATAGGTAAGGGCCTACTGAGCAAAAATCACTGCCTTATAAGCGATAAACGCAAACATTTGTTGGACATCCCAGATATACAATATTGATGACCAGGAATTTTTCCAGCATAATTGTTCTCTTTGTTTTGCTTATCCGCACCTACTCTTGACCAAACTAAAACCCTTTTCTGTCAGCTGGCTAACGAGCTTCATTCATGCCCCTTTGGCGTGAGAAGGGTGCATTTGCTATTTTACACAAGGTACCTTTTCAGAAGAATGTGTTTTAAACAAGTTCTTTCTCGTGGTATTGACATTGTTAGTCTCTTCGGTGAAATTCTTTGAGCAGGTAATTTGTATTTGCTGGAGATTGTTCTAGAAAGTTTTCTCTATGCTATATTCCCTTTTCCTAATATGAATACCTACAGTTTAGTATATGTAGCTGTTATTTGTGTAAACGAATGTCACCGAGCAGGCCAAGATGATGAAAAAGCAGCCAATGGCATCTGAAGAGGCTCTTTCCTTTTTAAAATATTACATATGGACTATAAAAAGGAAGGAGAATTGAGATACATTATGATGTATTTGTAACAGTCTGTGCACCTTTTAAGACACCATTTTGAAATGTATAGTCATGTAAAAGCAAAAAAAATACAAAAAAAATTACTTTAATGCAAACATTCAAGTTGGTTGTAATTCAATAAACTGTAATATCAGTGGTTGTTGCAAATGTTTGTTAACATGACTAACCCAGAGAAACTGACAAGTGAAATTGTCCTGTTACCCACAATCCATCTCATGTCTACTTCCTTTGCTATATCTGCAACAGGTTTAACAGAAATTAACTTTGGTATTCTGATAGTGTGGTCAACATTACCCACTTAGCTATGTAAAAGAAGACAAATTAAAAAGGTACTAAATGCAACATGGGACAACATAAGGTTGCGATGCAGTTTTTTTTTGCTATGTAAATATGACAGCTTTAGAATACACATACATAAGGATTTTATGGACTAGACATTGACATCAGCTGCTCTTGTGTGTGACTATATATTTAATGCCAAAAACAAACATGTAATATATTGCAGTTAACAAGACCTTCGATCTGGTGGCTGCATTAGTTTCCACTTTTAAGGCTAAGAACCCTTTCAGCAAGTACAGAAAATACCTGTTGATTTTGCCAGAAATGCAGTGTCCTTGTCTCACTTTCATTTCAAAATAAAGCACATAGAACATTATCTTTATTATGTCAATTACTAGTCCCATCAATTCACTATGTAATGGAGATGAACAAAGGCAGAGATGATTAAAATCCAGCCTGTGTGACAACCATAGCTCCCTTCATAGATACAGTGGACGTGTGTGCTTCAATATATTACATTTTTGCTTTTTTGGCTTTAGATAAAAAGAATTAACTATTTTAATCCTTATGCTGCTAGCAATAATAGATAGGAGAGTATAACGTGTTTTTTAATTTCTTTAGTTGGTTTTTGGCCTAGGCCAAATGATACATCCCAGGACTCATCATAGGCATTTTCTTTTTTGAATGTAAGTATGAAACTGAAACCTTTTTTTGTCACCATTTTCTGGCACCTTCATTATTCTAAAGTGCTGTGCACCATAAACAAATGCAATTCTTTTTTGTATTCATAAAATGTTTTTGTTTGTTTTTTTATTATTATTGTTTTTTCATATCTTGGCACTGTTCTCCTCTGGTCTCTTTCAGACACTTCTGTCTACTTCTGTCCACACAGCCCTCCAGAGTGCCAGCCAGCCTCATCCGCGAACCTCCCCCCTGCCCGCTATGTCTCCCGGGCTCCGCTTGCCCATCTTCGGGTCCGGGACCGGTTTAGCGGGTGCCAGCAGGTAGAAGGGGAGGCAGGAGACACGTCCGCTTCCCTCCCCTTCTTATCCTGACCCGGAAGTGACATTATGTCATCACTTCCGGGAGAAAGTCGGGCCCTCAGGCCACCCACATGAAGTTTCTGATTGGTCAGAAACATTCACACCAGTGGCCTGCTGGAGGTCATTTTGTAGGGCTCTAGCAGTGCTCATCCTGTTCCTCCTTGCACAAAGGAGCAGATACTGGCCCTGCTCCTAGAGTAACTGCCTGTCTCCTGAAATCTCCTCCATGCTCTTGAGACTATGCTGGAAGACACAGCAAATCTTCTGGCAATGGCATGTATTGATGTGCCATCCTGGAGGAGTTGGACTGTCTGTGCAACCTCTGTAGGGTCCAGGTATCGCCTCATGCTACCAGTAGTGACACTGACCCTAGCCAAATGCAAAACTAGTGAAAAACAGAAAAGATGAGTGTGGAAAAAATTGTCCTCCACCTGTGAAATCATTCCTGTTTTGGGGGTCGTCTCATTGTTGCCCATCTAGTGCACCTGTTAATTTCATTAACACCAAAGCAGCTGAAATTAACAACCCCCTCTGCTACTTAACTGACCAGATCAATATCCCAGGAGTTTAATCAACTTGATGTTGTACTCTGATTAAAGTGTTCCTTTAATTTGTTTGAGCAATGTACCGGTGGGATTTTATTGTTAATTAGGTTTAGATCTACTAATGTTTTGTGTTAAAATTACATTAGGTTGCTTGTATGGAAATATTATCAGTGTGTATCTAGTAGTTTGTGACATTCAACTGGACCTGTTCTGTTAAAAGAGACGTTCACCTTTCATAACCTGTCACACCCGTATTTAGGGTGTAACCTGTTACTGCTGCAGCTGTCTTCCCCCACCCCCTTAGGCGGAAACACAATACATGCATTTTAGCAGCTTCTCCATTGAACTCTACTGAAGCAAAAAAGCTGCTTTTGGGGTTTAAAAAAAAGTCCCTGACCCTTTCCAAAAACACAGCTCAAAAAAGCATAGATGTGAACTGTAGTGCATTTCTGCAAAAAGCACTAAAAAAACACATTGGCATGAGTCAGAGGTTACACTTCTCTTTCAGAACTGCACCCTCCACATTGTTCTTCCACCACCAATCACATTTTATTTTTATTTATTTCAGTACTTATATAGCGCCGTCAATTTACGCAGCACTTTACATATATATTGTACATTCACACCAGTCATGTGCTCCCTTCCACCTCTGTACACCCTCTCCACACCCTTTTTCACCACTGCTTACCTCTACATCCCTCTTCTACCACTCCTCAACCCCCTCCTACACACTTCTTTTTCTGCTGTACCCCTGCATCCTGCTTTCATCACTGCATACACACACCCCTACCCATCCCTCCCCCCTACACACACCCACACCTCTGCCACCACCTTACCCCCGTACACCTCTTTTGCCATTGCTCACTTCTCACATCAAGTGTTTGCCAGGAATAATCTAAAAAAAAAAAACGTGGATCCAAACCTTCAAACAGAAATGTTATCGGTTGCAGTTTACCAATCCAATGTGATAACAGCATTAGTTTTCTTTTTGCAGATCACTAACCTTTTTTTCAACAAGTACTGCAAAAACTATGTTATATTTCTTTTGCAAACTACCATCAACTACCATTTAATAAAGGTGAACAAAGCCAGATACGTTTGCAGTCCAACCTGCTGGACAGCCATAGCTACCCCATAGATACGTTGGAGAAGTTAGTGTAGTCATGAGGCGATAGTAAATGTGTTATTTGCAAAATATATTATATTGCAAAAAAAAGAGAATGCAGTTGCCATGTCTTAGAACTGATAACCTGGATAAACATTTTTTGTTTGTTTTTTGGATTTATATAACATAAAATAAGTGGGGGGAGGCTTTTTTTTTTTTTTTTTAAAGCTTTAGTTCTCTGCAAGAGAGGTGGGGCGCCCCAGTTGGTCTATGCTAGTGATCCTACTGGGCAAGATCATGTTCAAAGACAGTAAGAGGTCAGGGCTGGCAGCAAAAAGGAACTTATAGGAAAAAAAGGGAACATCAGACAGTAAAAAGAATTTTGGTCAGAGAGAGAAACCAAGTCATCATTCAGAAACTGGAACTGAAAACTAGCATGGGAACTGGCAGTTTCAAATTGCACTGATGGGTTTTCCATCCATGACATCAGATGGTGTATACAGCAGCACTCCTCAAAGGAATCCAGTAGGGGAAGCTCAGGAACATCTAAAGGCAGGTAGGGGAACTGCCCAGTCTGAGTAGCACTGCTAAAGTGACAAATGGTCCTTTGCACAGAAGAGAAAGCAACAGCAACCATAGAGGCCAGGTGAGAAACAGGCTCATGCACACCCACAGCTGCAAATACTGGCACAGGTACGGTTTGGAGAGATTAATCTGAGATGTATTAAGGAGGATAATGAGAAAAAAAAATATCTAATGCTGTAGGTTTTCAGTAGTACTGGTGATGTAGTCAGTTCTGTCTGCACCAAGAAAATGGTCAGTGTGCTCTTCCCATGATGCAATTCTTTCTGATTGACCTTGGAGCAGGACATCAGTCTAACATGAAAGAGACTCCCATCTGGGTCTATGTCCCAAGTATAGGGGATTGATTAGTTTATGTCTAATACTTGGACTCTATTTTCAACTTTCACTTTTACCACCTTCTGCTAACAAAATGTGGTCTTGGGGCCTGTGCACACCATAGGAATGCAGTCCAGCATTTTTGCTCTCCTTTTTTTTTTTTTTTTTCTTCACCTTAAATAAGGACACGTGCATTTTTGGTGTGTTTAGGTGCGATTTACCGCAGTCTAGTGCAGTTCTGTGCAGAAAAATTGCAGCACGTTTTTTTTTTTTCTAGAACTGGAATACACTGGAACTGACAGCACTGGTGTGAACTATGTTATTGGAAACCATATAACCTAATATCCATGCGTTTTTGATGCAGAAAAAAAGGCACTGGACTGAATGTGATATGAACCGATCCTTAGGGCAAAATACACTGGAACGCATCAAAAAATGCCCATGCAGAAGCGCCTCAGGACTGCATTTATATGGTATAAACTGGCCCTATCGCCCCGATCACAGAATATTATTATTATACAGGATTTATATAGCACCAACAGTTTGCTCAGCGCTTTACAATATAATAATAAATCGAATATGCAGCAATATATCATTTCACGCTACTTCCCTGCATGCTGTGCAGCACACTTCCCTTATTTTAATGTTTAGGGTTTCTACCTTAAAATGTTACTAAACCCCGTACCCTGCATTCACTATATCTGGTCTCCCACCCAATACACAGAACATGGACATGCAGTTATTTTAGTAAATATAAACTTCTAAATACCTTTTCTCATCAGCAGTTAGAGCAGTCATGTGACTTCTATCAGTGTCCAGCAGAGCACTGGTTGAATCTTGTTGGAGGAGTTTTCATTCTCCCTTGATTGTCCTATGAGGCTGCATGACCTCTAACCCTCTGGACAGTGCTGATTGGCCTTGTGCTGATCACATGCACTCTCCCGGAAAAAAAAAAAACAGCAATACACACCAAACTGAGCTTGTGCAGCTTGCCCCCAAGACTCTATTCTATCAGCAGATGGATTGGGAACAGTAGGAGAAGGGGGAATAAGAGAAGACAGGATCAAACAGACTTTTACACAATGCAGAGGTTTAAACCCTTAGGTTCCACAGGGAGTGTAACAAGCATGCTTTACTGCATATACAGACTGATTTTACTGTTGTGGGTTTAGTAACACCTTAATGGAGATTAAAAAAAGGTCACATGACCATTCTTGGTTGTTTCATCTTGCTCTGCACTGGCGTATGGAAGGAGTCAAGTGGTGACAACACACTGATGCAGTAACAGAGGATCTTAGATCAAAGCTTAAAATTAAAATTTTTTAACATCAGTATTACAATAGCAATACAGTTAATGGGTATTTTTGATAATCCAATCCATTCACTTGAAAAATCTCCTTTCATGTTGTGAGTTCTGCCTGGATGCTGATGGTCTCTTTCCACAATTTCTGGATTCCCTGCATGCTTTACAGCTTCTCCTTTTCAGTTTACTTGCAATTTTCTAAGGACTACATATCCCATGGTACCTTGCTGTCTGCAAGCAGTGATTCCAGTACTGACCCCCTGAAAAACTCCTCTCAGCACCTTTGTACTACAGAAAGCGAGTTCTGTGAAATGTGTGACGCAGCAGTGCTTACTCACAGGGCAGAGCGGCTATGCGTCACAGAATTCAGGGAAGCAAATGTGTGGGAATCTTCACAAAGATCGCAGCTTTCAGGATCATTCAGATTAATAGTAGTAGGCTAGAAATAAATTACATTTAATGTGGAATTAAACATATAATTTAAAATTTTGATTATAGAGACATTTTAATAAATGTTCTGTTTAGAAATAGATTATGGGAGTTCCAGAAAAGAAGAGATCTTCCATGCTTTCATGAGCTGAGTAGCAGCAAAAAAACAATAGGATACTTTATAGCAATAATGATGAGTGTATGGATCATTGTTCAGGGATTTCTATGAACACCAAAGGTCATTTTTATGTCAAGCCATTTCATAGGGTGAGTTTCTGCCAGAAAATCCACATTAGAGTTATTATTATTATTCAGTATTTATAAAGCGCCAATGGTTCGCTCAGCGCTGTAGAGTTGATTCACACATGTGCAGTGCAGATTGAAGCTCAGGTTTCACAGCTAATTGACACAGGAGTTGTTCAGCAGTTCATGTCAGGTTTACATCAGGTTCAGGACAGGATTAGGTCAGGATTTTATCCTGTTCACACATGCTGTTTAGAAACAGTTCCTATAGAAGTCAACAGCCTGTAATCTGCACCTGAACCTGAAGGCACTGCTCAGAAATCGGACAGGACTCTTTTTCAAACTGCAGTGAATCCGCACCGCCAGTGCATCGGACATATGTGAACAGGTACCATAGGAAATAATGTTATTTCACATGTCATGCGGATTGGATGCGGTTCAAACCACATCCAATCTGCATATACACTATATTGCCAAAAGTATTGGGACACCCCTCCAAATCATTGGATTCAGGTGTTCCAATCACCTCCATGGCCACAGATGTATAAAATCAAGCACTTAGGCATGCAGACTGCTTCTACACACACATTTGTGAAAGAATGAGTCGCTCTCAGGAGCTCAGTGAATTCAAGTGTGGTACAGTGATAGGTTGCCACCTGTGCAATAAGTCCATCCATGAAATTTCCTTGTTACTAAATATCCCACGGTCAACTGTTAGTGGCGTTATAACAAAGTGGAAGCAACTGGGAACAACAGCAACTCAGCCACGAAGTGGTAGGTCACATAAAATGACAGAGCGGGGTCAACGCATGCTGAAGCGCACAGTGTGCAGAAGTCGCCAACTGTCTGCAGAGTCAATAGCTAAAGACCTCCAAACTTTGTGTGGCCTTCAGATTAGCACAACAGTGCATAGAGAGCTTTATGGAATGGGTTTCCATGGCTGAGCAGCTGCACCTTATATCACCATGTGAAATGCAAAGCGTTGGATGCAGAGGTGTAAAGCATGCGGCCACTGAACTCTAGAGCAGTTAAGACGTTCTCTGGAGTGACAAATCATGCTTCTCTGTCTGGCAATTCAATGGACATGTCTGGGTTTCCAGGAGGAGAACAGTACATTCCTGACTGCATTGTGCCAAGTGTAAAGTTTGGTGGAGGAGGATTATGGTGCTCCCAACTTTGTGGGAACAGTTTGGAGATGGCCCCTTCCTGTTCCAACATGACTGCGCACCAATGCACAAAAGAAGGTCCATAAAGACATGGATGAGTGAGTTTGGGGTGGAGGAACTTGACTGGCCTGCACAGAGTCCTGACTTCAACCTGATAGAACACATTTGGGCTGAATTAGAGCAGAGACTGCGACCCAGGCCTTCTCATCCGACATCAGTGCTTGACCTCACAAATGTGCTTCTGGAAGAATGCTCAAACATTCCCATAGACACACTCCTTAACTGCTTTCCCGCCATCCTATAGCAGAAATGCTGCTATAGGGCGGCTGGGGTGTTCAAAATCACGTATATATACGTGATTTTGCCATTGGCGGACCTGTCGATCACAGAGTCCTGGCTGGTGATTCCCCGCCAGCATCCAGCGACTGCACAATACAGATCTCTCCCCTGTCAGCTCCTGCATTGCTCTGCATAGCAGAGCAATGCAAAGCAATGTGCTTACACAATAAAGCACACCCAGCACACAGTAAAACACAACACAGCACACAGTTAACCCTTTGATCACCCCAGATGTTAACCAATTCTTGCCCAGTGTCAGTACAGTGTCAGCGCTTTTTATTAGCACTTATCACTGTATTGGTGTCACTAGGGATGTCAGTGACGGTTTGTCAGAATGTCTGCCGCAGTCTAGCAGTCCCATTATAAGTCACTGATCGCCGCAATTACTAGTTAAAAAAAAAAATTCCTGTATCTATACCGTCATTTGTAGATGCTATAACTTTCACGTAAACCAATTAATGTACACATATTGGTATTTGTTTTTGGCCTAAATTTATGATAAAAATAGATTTTTTAATTTTTTTTACTGGACATGTTTAATAGCAAAAAGTCAAAAATATTGTTTTTTTTTCCTCAAAAGTGTCGACCTTTTTTTTTTATAGCACCAAAAATAAAAACCGCAGAGGCAATCAAATACCACTGAAAGAAAGCTCCATTTGTGGGGAAAAAAGGACATACATTTAATTTCGGGTGCAGTGTTGCATGACCGCGCAATTGTCAGTTAACTTGTTGCCGAACGCAGATAGCCGAATGACGGCTGCACTGCGGCCGGCCAGTTCTGAGTGGACGTCATATGACGGCCTCCCAGAACGCGCTCTCCTGCGCGCCCCAGGGGGAGCGCACCCGGCGATCTCCGTGATCGCTGTGTCCTACGGACACAGCTGATCACGTGATGTGGTAAAAGGCCAATCACAGCGGCCTTTTACCACCTGATCAGCGGTGTCCAATGACACGCTGATCAGAGGGAAATGCAAGTGCCGGTTCTCGGCTGCACTTTCCTCACGCTGTCAGATCGTGAGGAAAGTACTGCCGAGAACCGGCAGTTGTCAGAGCGGGGATCGGCACCGATCATCAGGGCACTGATGATCGGTGCCCAGCAGTGCCACCCGCAAGTTCCGCCCACCTGTGCCCTGCAGTGCGCCCACTAGCTCCGCCCACCTGTGCCCAGCAGATCACCCACCTGTGCCCAGCAGTGCACCCACCTGTGCCACTCTGCAAATTCACACACCTGTGCCCAGAAGTGCCACCTACCTGTGCCCAGCAGTGCCACCCACCTATGCCCACCCACCTGTGCCCACCAGTGCCACCACCTGTGCCCACCCACCAGTGCCACCCACCAGTGCAGCCCAGCAGTGCTGCCAGTCAGTGCCCAGAGGTTGTGCCAGTCAGTGCCGCCAGTCAGTGCCCAGCAGTGATGCCAGTCAGTGCCATCTATCAGTACCCATCATCAGTGTCACCTATCAGTGCTGCATATTAGTGCCGCCTATCTGTGACACCTCATTAGTGCTGTCTATCAGTGCCGCCTATCCGTGCCACCTCATTAGTACTGCCTATCAGTGCCCTTTAATGCTGCCTATCAGTGCCCATCAGTGCCGCCATCAGTGCCCATCAGTGCTGCCTCATCAACGCACATCAGCGAAGGAGAAAAATTACCTGTTTGAAAAATTTTATAATAGAAACAAAGAAACTTTTTTTTTTTTTTTTCAAATTTTTGGCAATTTTTTATTTATAGCGCAAAAAGTAAAGCGCCCAGTGGTGATTAAATACCACCAAAAGAAAGCTCTATTTGTGAGAAAAAAATGATCAAAATTTCATATGGGTACAATGTTGCATGACCGCGCAATTGTCAATCAAAGTGCGGCAGCGCTGAAAGCTGAAAATTGGCCTGGTAAATAAGGGGGTATAAGTGCCTGGTAGGCAAGTGGTTAAAGTAATGCAGCGCCGTATCGCAAAAAAATGGCCTGGTCAGGCAGGGGGATAAATCTTCTGGAGGGCAAGTGTGGACTGCCTTCCCAGGAGAGTTTGATAGCTGCAAAGGGTGGGCCAACTCAATATTGAACCCTACAGACTACTAAGATGCCATTAAAGTTCATGTGCGTGTAAAGGCAGGCGCCCCCATACTTTTGGCAATATAGTATATGTGAACCGGCACTTAGTGTATATAGAAAAACAAAAAAGAGCAACTCTTTTTATCTCAGCAATCACCCCTCTACTCCCATAGCAATCATTGTTTATCACGATTCTAATTCCAACAGTTAATGACTCTCTTCAAAATCTTATGCAACCAGACCAAGCTGCCTTATAGCCCCCCCCCCCCCCCCCAAAAAAAAACTAAGAGTTTATGGCTAGAAGTGTCTATGGGAGAGAACAGGTTAACCTACTGAAGATGTAAGTGGTTGGACTTGGATCTATGTTATAGGATACCACTCATGACAGTTGAGCAGCAAAGTTAGATTTCTGGGGAGGAAGGCTCCAGTACAATGGTCTTCCTGTCCAATTTGAATTTCCTACTGCCTAATGAAAGATGCAAATAAGGCTGGAGAATATCCAAGCAATGCTGTAAAGAGGAACAAGAATTCTTTACACATGATTTAGAATGGTCAGGGTATATTGGTAAAAAAGTGCTACTATGATGAATGTTAACCGCTTGCTGACCGCCCTATAGCAGTTTTACTGCTATAGGGTGGCCGCTCTGTGCAGAATCAAGTAAATAAACGTGATTCTGCATTTTCGGGTAGGGGGTGTGAGCCCGCCACCCTGCACTGTCATTGGCTCCTGTACTTTTCAATGATTGGCAGAGCAACTGACAGAAGAAGCCAGCCTCTGTCCAATGAGCATTCTGGAAAACCAGTAGCCGATCGGCATCTGATCAGCTCTCCCAGCCAGTGTCCGAACACAATAGCACAGCTTGAAGGTTACTGTACTAACATCGCTTCGTTAGCACTGCAACCTCCTGGTGACCAGCTGAGTTTTTTTTTTCGTTCCTCCCTCTCGGTTGAACAAAAAAAAAAATAGCGTGTGTACCAGGCATAAAACAATGGTGAAAAGGTTACCTGTTCTCACAAGGCTTGTCTCAGAGACATGGCTGCACAACTGTGTATGTGACAGGACCATAAAAGTTCTATTTGTTTAAAGCTAAACTCTGGGAAGAGCAAGAATCTTCTCTTGCAGTGGAGCTACACCTGCACCGAAAGGTTAACTGCTCATTTGCATGTTGGGGCCACTTCTTCCCTATGCTCTGACAGTCGGATGCCCCTGACATCATCAAGGCTGATGCAGGGCCCATAGCCAACTGCAAGGGCATAGAGGAATGCTGTTTGTCAGGGGAGCGGGTGAAGGATCAGGTAAGTGTGTGATGGACTGCCTGGCACCCCACCTGGGTGCCTCCGCTAAACAGTGCCTCCTGCCTCCAAACCTTTCCAGCAGACTGGTAGCTAATACCAACCCTTTACCCCAAGCATCATACACAGACAAAATGTTGAGGTAAAAACCAAAGGAATACCTTTATTGAACAAAAATACAGGTTTTTATACACTTCATAATAGGGGCAGTCACCACATGAACAATGCAAACTTCAAACAGGAACCCAATAAACAGCTAACAGTGATCTGATTAACCACTTGCCAACTGCGCTATAGCGTGGTTGTCCAGTTCTGGGAGGGCGCCATATGATATCTTCCCAGAATGCGTCCTCCCGAGTGCCCCCAGCGAACTCTGTGATCGCAGTGTCCTACGGACACAGCTGATCATGTGCTGTGGTAAAAGGCCAATCACAGTGGCCTTTTACCATGTGATCAGCTGTGTCCAATGACACAGCAGATCACCGGTAAATGCAGTTGCCAGTTATCGGCTGCACTTTTCTTATGCTGTCACAGCATGAAGAAAGTAATGCCGATAACCAGCAATTGTCAGAGGATGGATCAGCACCGATCATCAGGGCACTGATCAGTGCCACCCACCTGTGCCCATCCGTGCCTAGTAGTGCCACCCACCTGTGCTTAGCAGTGCCACCCACCAGTGCCACCCATCAGTGCTACCCATCAGTGCCCAGCAGTGCCGCAAGTCAGCAACATCAGTCAGTGCCACCCATCAATGCTGCCTATCAGTGCCCATCATCAATGCCAGCTCATCAGTGCCGCCTATCAGTTGCTATCAGTGCTGCCTATACATGCTACCTCATCAGTGCTGTCTATCAGTGCCCATCAGTGCTGCCTATCAGTGCAGCCTCATCAATGCACAACAGTGAAGGAGAAAAATTACCTGTTTGCAAAATTTTATATTAAAAAAAAAAAAAAAAAACTTTTTTTTTTTTCAAATTTTTTGCTCTTTTTTTGTTTATACCACAAGAAATAAAACACCCAGCAGCAATTAAATACCGCCAAAAAAAAGCCATATTTGTGCAAAAGAATGATAAAAATTTCATATGGGTACAGTGTTGCATGACCGCTCAATTGTCTTTCAAAGTGCGACAGTGCTGAAAGCTGAAAATTGGCCTTGGCAGGAAGGGGGTATAAGTGT